ACTTATTTACATAAACAAAAATCTGTTATTTCCATATATTAAAGAAAGACTAAACCTTTTTTTAACATTAGATTACTAAAGTCTTACAGAAATCAGCTTCATTCTGATGGTGTTATAGCACAAACTACTACTCGTACGCATACATACTCAGTATATAAACAGAAAAAAACTCTTGATATTCAACCTGCACACCCTGATAAAACACACTCATGCACTGATAAAACACACCCACATAATTATAATGACATAGTTTTAATGTATTTGGCCTGCAGTGCTAAGCAGAAAACTAGAAAAATATATTTGTTTGCTTCACAGGTCAAACCTGAAAAAAGTAACCAATTTTTAAAAATATTTCATACAATTTTCAAGCCTTGACCATGAAAGAAAAACCTGTTACTAGGAGTTTTTGCTTAAATGACACTGTGGTGATATATTGCAGTTTTAATAGAAACTTTATTTTTGTACCTATAGTGTAAAAAATATTTACGAAAGGATTTTTGTATTAAAAAAATAACACCTTCTCACTATTAATTATTATGTTTGTTAACACACATTCAAAAAAAATTAAATACTATTTCTTTAAAAGAATGACAGAGTGGTAAAATGATACGATACCTTATGTTGTTTAGTGCTCCTCCAGTCGTGGCCAGATGTTCAGCCAATCTCCTCTCTGCAGCCAAAGCTCGCTGTGTGACATCACATGCATGACATCATCAGCCAATGGAAAAAAGTCATTTATATAACTGAGCAGAAGCAAGAAAATGAGGGAAAAACATTCACCTTTTCTCTGTCACTGAGAGCTGTGAACCTCTTCTTTTCCTCCTCTTCTTGCTGTTTCTTTACTTTCTCTTCTTTTTGCTCTTTCTCTTTTTGCTTGCGTGCTGCTTTTTGGGCTTTCTTCTTTTCTGCTTTTTTGGACTCTATATCTTCGGTTAGCGGTCCAGGAACCTTGAACACAAAGCACAGAATGTATAGTAATGAGTTGCAGATGTTTTATTTTGGGATGCAAAATCTAGGATGCAATGTTGTTAAAACGATGTGGAAAAAAAGAGAAAAAAAATACATTACTTTTTTTTTATATATATATATATATATATATATATATATATATATAAATCGCATTTATTAAAATATCTGTGATCTATAGAAGGCTTTTTCTGTGACAGGATAAAAACAATTACCGGTAACTTTTTTCATCACTTAATTATGACGTTTCCCCCCTCACGATTCAGAAAACAAAATCCCAACTGTCTCCAAATGATGAAAACAGCTACAATAAATTCCAGTTTAGATCTCTCTATTCTGGCTTTTGTTAATTATTGTGAGTTATCTGAAAATTATTACTTTTATCACCAGAATTCTGTTTAAATCTCTCACTTCTGACTTTATTTTACTTGGGAGTTCAGAGTTTAAATTTTGCAATTTTGACTTTTTTTTCCTCGGCAGTATGAAATAATATCAACTTTTTATTCAGTGACAGAAACGAGCAGCCATAGAGGTCACTAATCTTAAGATAAAATGAACAAACAAACAAACAACAATGTAATGATATGTCTTATTAAACCTTTGTATCTTCAACAAGTTAATATATATAAAAAAAAATTACACACACACATAGTTTAAGTATGAATTTTGACCTTAAAATGTTTTTGTTTTTTAAACTATTTTTCTAGCCGAAATAAAACAAATAAGACTTTCTCCAGAAGAAAAAATATTACAGACATACTGTGAAAATAGCCTTGTTCTATTATACACACACACACACAGACACACACACACACACACAGACACAGACACAGACACAGACACACACACACACACACACACACACACAGTATATAATCTTATTCATATTTTAGATTTTATACTGTTTTATAATAATAGTTTTTAATATATATATATTGACAGTCAGCATATTAAATTGTCTACCTGTGCTTTTGTGTAGTCATATTTATGAGGGTGTTCAGCCATGTATTTTCTAAACACGTTTCTTGTATCCTTTTCAGGAGCGACACCATATGGAGTCTGTCCTTTTTTAGTCCTGAAAAAAAGACATGATCTTCAGAATCAAACAACATGTAATGGAAAAGCCCTGATTACTTTGACCAAAAAACAAATTAAACAAAACATCTGGCCAAATATAAATGTACTTATAAAGAATGTTTTTTTTGTTGTTGTTGCTGCTAATACATTATTATGATTCTGCATGTACGTACTTGTTGGCCGGATCACTCCCTGCATCCATTAGCAGTCTGATGACAGACTTCTGTCCGGCTGCTGAAGCCACGTGCAGTAAAGTGAAGCCTGCTGAGTCTATGGGCTTGTTGAGAAGATCTGAACTCTGTGAAGCAGGATCTTCTTCAGTGGTTCTCTCTCTTCTGCTCTCTTCGTCCTCCGGTAGATGAAGGAGGCTGCGCAATGACTGGATGTCTCCAGTTTTACAGGCAGTGTAGAGAGCATCCCTTAAACTGTACTCCCAAGACTCATCCACTTCATCTGAAAACACCGGAGAAATAAAACACTGTGACATGCAATTCTCAACAGAAAAGGGTCAAATGTGTATGCGCATGTTTAATAGATTTTCAACAAAAATCTAAAATATTATACGGTATCATTTAAAATGTTTCAAAAAAAAAAGTTAATGCTCAACAAGGCAGTATTTTAAATTAGAAATACAATACATATAGTAAATGTATACTGTAACTACAGTCTAAAATAACTTTTTGTTGTTATTTGAATATATTTTATAATGTAATTACTTCAGTCCTTATGTGGTCACACAAGCCTTCAAAATTATTCTAAAATATACGGATTTAGTGCTCTTAAAATTACTGGGCGCAAGTGATACTTTGCTTTCAGGTTTGTTTGTTTTTTGATGAACTGCATTTAATTTAAACAGATTTGTAAGATTAATCATTTCTTTTTTTGTATTATTTTGAAGCAGCCATGTAAAATTAATAAGGAAATTTCATTCAAAAAAAATGTTTAGACTTTTCAATGGTCTATGTATGACTTTGCGGTAGTCATACACATCAATAATGTACTAAAAACAAATGTTTTCCCTTTGTATTTTTGAAACGTTTTCTGTACAGTTGACGGCACTGTCACACAGATCTGCTTACACACAAAATCTTTTCTTGTCACACTATTTCTGAAACATCTCACTCAAAATGCAAAACACCTCAAATCTCCAAAACCAAAAGCTGTTTCTCAGCCTTGAACTCAACTATCAATTGCATAAAAAACTTTTTTTCAAAACTCTACACACAACTCTCTACCTTAAAAACAAAACGCTGACAGGAATCCACTTGCTTTCCTTTTCCAAACACAACTAATCAAATCGCTACACTTAATCACAAGGTCGCACACACACGCTCCTCAAATGTGAAAACACTCATTTCTTAACTGATCACTAACCAATCACTGCTTTAGTCTAGTATAGGACAAAGGTGATGGGGCACTGGGCTGTTCTGGTCAAAAAAAAAAAAAAAAAAAAAAAAAAAAAAAAAAAAAAAAAAAATCGGTTTACCACCTATCCACAATTTGTAGTTTTGTACCTACCCCATTTACTCCTTTTCTAAATACTAAATCCTAAATGCCTCAAAAAAAAAAGGATAAAGCAATTCTTCTGAGCCTAGTGCTGTAAATTGTATGATGACCAACCCTATGCCCACATTATGCTTTTCCAGGCAATGGACGCTCCGAATTGTGTGTAAAGTTTTGAAAATGTGTGTAAGCAGTTGGGAAAAAAAATGTAAAACACCATATTATATACACCAGGTCACATCATGATGTGATACTACATGAAGAGAAACACAGGAATTTTGTTGTCCGCCATAACCGTTTTGGTTGTCAAGTACTCATTAAGTACTGCAGACTAAAACATAATGAATATGATATTACTGTTTTCACAACATTATATTTGTGTAGTTTTGAGAAGTTATAATAATATCATTTCGGCAAACTTTTATTTTAAACATTTGCATTTTCATGTCTTCAAATTGCTTTTTTTGTAAATGAAAAGCCAAAACACATTAAAAAATCACATTTTAGGTTAAAATGGTTTAGCGCAAGAAGCCCCTCAATTAAAGGGAGTTTACCCAAATATCTGTCATCATTTACTCATCCTTCACTTGTCAAAAATGTTTGAGTTTCTTTTTTCTATTGAACACGAATAATTAAAAAAAATGTTGGAAACCGGTAACCATTGACTTCCATGGTAGGAAAAACAAATACTTTGGAAGTCAGGGGTTACAGATTTCCAACATTTTTCAAAATAACTTGTGTTTAACAGAAAACAGTTTGGAACCACTTAAGAGAGAGTAAATGGTAAACACATTTTCATTTTTAAGTGAACTACTCTTTTAATACCCACAATTAAACATTTGTGTCAACTCCAATATCAGTTTACCCTCTTCAGGCTGAGGTTTTTTGCCTTTGGGTTTCCTTCTGCCCCTTGACTTCCTCTGCATCTCTTTAGAGTCACTTTCAACTTCCAGTTCACCTTCGTCCATATTTTCATCATCTGCCTTATCTTCATTTGTTTCTCGACTGCTTGAGTCTAAACCACAAGGACAAAACAAGAAAATGATTAAATTATAACTGTTTAATATTTTGTATACAACATCACTTCTGTTCTGGAGTTTTTTTTCTGGGTGATCTGGTGTACATAATGCTCTTAACCTTCTCTTTTCTCTTTCCGCTTCCTCCTTTTCTTCTTATTAGGATAGATCTCGTGTTCTCTCAGGACCAAAGTTCCCAGCGTCACCTCCACAGTCTCTAGTGTTCCTGAATCATCTTCTCCTGAACTTTCTTCTTTAGCATCTTCTCCCTCTGCTGGCACTGACCACAAAACAGCCTTTAAATGAGTTTGTTTTCAAGAAACTCTTGGTTAAAATAAAATATTTTGGCGATTCATATGGAAGATTTCAAAATTTTTCAAATTAACCACACTTTTTCACCAATTTTACCAGCTCATTTTCTTCAAACCAAACCAAGGAATCAATAAATTAAATAAATAAACCAAAATGGTTTAGACTCACCATTAGTGTTTGGTACTGGATGACTAACAGGTTTAGGAGTTTTCTTCTTCCACAATCTCCTTGATGGACTAAGAATACTGGAGATTTCAGTCTCTTTTTCTGAAATTTAACAGACATTCATCGTAAAAGGAAAGACATTATAAAATTGTATCTTTTTTAATACAGTAGCAAAGCTCCACATACGATAAACATGTAGGGTCGAGAGCAGGTCAAAGACACGCTTTACTTCACTAAATGTGGCTCTACGTGTGGCAAAAGGAAGTATGCGCATTCGCTGATCTTTTTTGTCCAACGGTGCTCCACGACCTCCAAAAAATATGGTCTTGTTGTAACTTGGTGCTCGTAGGAAGATGGCACTGGCCTCCTTCAAATAATCAACCCAGCTTTCCAGAAGGTCATGAATATCCTGTTTTTTAAAAAAAAAAAAAAAAAGAATATGCATCAACATCTGTAGCCTGGATTCCTTTACAAACTTTTGCAATATTTTTTTTTTCAAGTATTGATTTAAAAAAAAAATTTGAAATGATGGTGTTTTCATAAACTGGTGTTATGGAAGTAAAAAAATAATAAATAAATAATTGGAATGACAGATTTCATAAGAAAGATTATGTATTAGTGGTCAACCAATGTGGGTTTTTTGAAGGATGTTGACGATATCTTGGAAAGCAGGGTGGCAGATGACCGATATTTAAAAATTATAATTGTATTCATTTTATTTAATAACTTTATTTATATTCTATTGAAAGTATTTTAAAAATGGATTAAATAATGAAAGTAAATGAATAGTCGCAAATAGAAAAACTTATCAGCGAATATTTGAAAAATGACAAATATCGGCCGATATATCCAGCCTGATCTCACGAGAAAACGCAAGCATTTTACGTTTTGCCAGTTTAATGGCTAATTTGTACGAATTCGTACGAGTTCAGTCGTACAAAAATGTAAGATTTTAAAAAGGAGGCATGGCACCTAACCCCACCCCCAAACCCAACCGTCATTGGGGGATGAGCAAATCGTACTAAATTGTACGAATTAGATCATACGAATTCATCCGAATTAGCCACTAAATCAAAAAGTTACCAATTGCCATAAGATTGTGTTAATATATCGGTTGATCATTACGGTGTGTTCAGAATTTCTGAACAATCAATCTTTTTAAAGTTGTGTAATGCAATACAGCCTCTTTTACGCCTACTGCTTTATGCCCAATTGAGCCAGTTTCTACTAATACACACATAACATCCATAAAAAAATGATCCTGCAATTTTTACATATCCCAAGTGAACTGTAAATGTAAAAAAAAAAAACGGTTTATATGGTTTAATGTGAAATATAATTTTTTATTGGTAGTAAAATCAACTCATCCAAGCGTAAAAATCAATTTGCTCAAGTAAAATCATAATGGAAATGCAATTACAGACTCATAAATTTACTGCAAGTCAATCGGTACACCGAAAGCCGCATACCTCCTTACTACATTTACTATAGCATGTGAAAAGCCATATGTGAGCATTGTAATAAGCCCGAATTCTTATTATTTGGAAAAAAGTTGGAGAGAAGTACCCAAATGACCTCCTACCTTTGGCAAGATTCCAATGGACACGTTACTATACCATGAGGCCATATGAGAGAATTCATGAATGGTGGTAAAATGAGCATGTCATGTGAAAATGATAACATGTTGGATGTAGAATATTTTTATTTATGAACTTGGATAGCTGTACCTTGTGGAGCGCTGCCTCATTGTATCTCCTAAGAGCTGCACCTGCAGATTTGGGCGTGTGGCTGCGGTTCTGCGAGTCCCTCAGTCCCTGCGCCGTCCCTCGCTTCGCTCTCACAGTGTACCGGTGGAAGGTCTTGTGCTGCAGAATCTCTTTTCTAGATCAGTTTGAAAATCATAATTACTTACATCTTATATTGTTTGCTTATAAGAAAGAAGACATTCAGAACTTTTCACTGACCCCTTAAAAACTGCTCCAGCAAAGTGTCCCCCACCAGTCATCAGAATAACCCAAACAGTGTTATTGGAGATTTTCAGTAAAGAAGAAACCAAGTCTTCTTCGTTGTCCTGAGTGTGAACAAGACAACAGAATTTGATGAGAGCCAAAGAATAAAAAGCTATAGAAATAAGTCAAAAATTAATTCATTATAACTTTTAAGTTTTTGGTTTATTCGTCCTGAAGCCTCTTTTTTGTTTTCGGTTTATTCCTCAAACTATAAAAATGACAGTAGCATTTACAATACAGAACACATATTTAATCTTAGGGTGTTTTTACATCTAGACATTTGTTTCAATGTCTCGTTTGCCCAGTTAGCGGGACTCCTTTGGCATACGTGTATCCCGCAATAGCTCTCAAATCCGCACCAAAACAATCTGTCTGAGCTCTCCTGACTGAGATGGTCTCTGTTCGATTCGAACAAAACTCTGGAGCGGATCGATTGTAGTGAGAAAGCAAAACGATCGAACAAGCCAGGGTATATCACAGTGTATTATGGATATGCAATAGGCATGGCCATATGAATGAGAATTACAAGTAGGGTGGTATGTCATTCCTACCGGCAAATCACTGTTTCATATCAAATACGAAAGTGAAAGCATGCTGAAATATTACTGTTGGGAAAATTGACCGAAATTACCATTTAATATTTTTTTCATATTTTAATTTATATTATTTTATATTAGGCCTATTCTTTAGTTCATTTCTGCACTGACGTCTCGAAAGAAAGATTGATCTGCTTCATGATCTGAGGATGTCTTGGTTCATCTGTTATTTCTCTCTATAATTTAGGTTTATAATGTATAATTCAAGCCAATGTTTTTTTTAATAGATTACTGGATTCATTAGATAAGATTTTGACAACTGAAAGGCTATGTATGCTCTGATTTATATATGGTCTGTCAAAATTAAAGCACATCTTTTTGCTTTTAATGTCTCATTTCTCATAATCATAAATAAAATAGCCATGTACCTGTATGACAGCTAAGCAAAATCTGTGGGACTCTGAAAAATAAACTCTAAAACTGTGAGGAGTTTACTCGCACGTGACTTGTTTTTGTCCGTTTAGAAACTTTGCCGTGTAAAAGCAAATCGCATCAAAAAACAAAAACAAAACAAAACATTGTTAGAATTTGAATTCCTGTTTCGGAACAAAAGAATCTCTCTACAGGTGTGAAAGCACCCTTAGTTCATGTATTTACAAACATGAACAAAATATGAACATTTATATTCATCGTTCAATATTCACCAACGCATTATTGAAATACAAATGCTTGTACAAATAAATTAATGCACTGCAAAATGACATGAATTAACAATGAACAACTTTATTTTTATTAACTAAGGTTAACAAAGATGAATAAATACTGTGATAAATGTAATGTTCATTGTTTGTTCATGTCTTTAAATAAATTAACTATGTGTCCTATGTTGTAAAGTATTACCAAAAAAAATAAAAATAAAAAAAAATAAACACTACCTCCCTCATAAAAAATATGCCAGAAAATATTCTGTTGAGAAGTGTTTTGTTTGCCTGCAGAACGTACTTTGGAGTTAAGTGTGTCTGTTTGTTTGTATGTGGGTGTGTCATTATGCAAGTGTTACAGGTACGAACAGCATTGGAGGATCCTCATTTCGTGCTAATGACATTGGCCACCGACACTGGGTTCGCGCCACCAATCACTGGTCGACATAGCGTTTAAAAAAGCCGGCCCAAACTGCAATGGCGATCTCTCTCTCTCTCTCTCTCTCTCTCATTTTCTTTCTCTCGCGCTTTCGCTCTCACTCTTTTTGTGAGTCTCTGAGGACAATCTCTCTAACAAGGACTAGTCTGAGAGAATGTGTTTTCATTTTGCTTGTGATTAATGTTCTTGTCTAAAGTCTTTTAAAATTGCAAATTGATACCTGTTTGAGTAATACCTCGGAGAGGGTGTAGAAATGAGCAAGTTGCATGATATACATATCCATAGTCATTTTTGTATTAGTTCATAAGGTTCAGGAAAGTGTGCTGTTTTGTGCATGTTTGGTGTTGAAGATGTTTCTTTTCATGATTTTCTTTTGATATTTAGTTTAGTTTGTTTACTACAGTTAATGTGTTTTGTCATATTGATTTATCTGATTTACTGTAAGCACCTCTAATGCTGCGTTCACACCAGACGCGAAACGCGCGTCAAGCGCGAGTGATTTACTTGTTAAGTCAATGCAAACGCGTGAATAGACATCCTGCGGCGTGATACGTGCGAATGGCGGAGCGCAAATGACACGAATGGCGCAATACTCGCAAATGACAGGGCGCGAATTGAGCGTTTTGTGCGTTTGTCGCGCGTTTCGCACGAATCACTCAAATTCGAAAATCTGAACTTCAGCGGACATTTGCGTCGCGTTAACCAATCAGGAGCTTGCTCTTGTTTGGGCGTGATTGTAACTTATCGCCTGTTATCAGTGTCCCTGGGGAAATCCTCCAGCCGACACCGACAACAGTTCATCAAACTGGGCTTGGCTCAGTCAGAAGCACCGCTGAAAGCCTTCGTCATCCAGGTTCAGTTTCTGGAGGAGTTTATGAGCTCACAGAGCTGGATGCACCTCTGAAAGGATGTAGTGGACTCAGACACGACCCTAAACGTATCAATGCTGTTTTTCAGCCTATATAAAGCAGATAAACACTGTTATTTTCTTAATAAAATCCATGTTAGCCATTTAGAAATGAAGCTAGAGTCACCGGGGAAGACAGAAGCCCTGCCCATAATGCGAATCCGCGTCTGTTCTGAAGCGAATTTAACGCGCGAAATGAAGCGGGGTTTGACGCGCGAATGAAGCAAGTAAACTCAAATGTTCACGCGGCAATTTACGCACGAATATTTTTCACTGGTTTTCACTAGAAGTATGGACAATAAATAATCACATGCAGTGATATTTGGTTTTCAATTGTTTCTTTCTCCATCCATTGGTCATGCACACACTAAACTATATGTTATGTCAAAAAAACTTTAGTGTAATATTAACATCTAAAAGGATGTAACAAAAAGGAATTATGTTTGGCAAATGACCTGGCATAGACTAACCAATCGGATAATAGATCATCTTACTTTTTTGCTTTGCAGAATGCAGCGATACAGTGACAGGAACTGGCCCTCTGCGTTTTGGAAGACAACTTTGGCAGAAAGTCGACTCTGAGGCTGATCTGTGTCCAGAGCACAGTCCGTCTGCACAGGGGCCACTTCATCTCCAAGGTCGCCATCCTCACTATCCGAACTGTCTGAGCCTGAAATACTTGAGATGTCACCTGTTGAGGGGCATGGAAGATTACACAAGGACCACAAACTGTGTCATACAAGTATACTGTATTTGAATCTACCTGTGCCAGTTTTCTTCTCAAACTCCTCCACTGTGACCGCTGATCTTCCTTCCAGCCGTTGTCTCAGGTTGAAGCGGTGCCAGTCAAGTTTATAGTGCTCCATCTTAGAAAAGAATCAACTTTGAGATTAAGTTTCTTCTGTTAAACAGAAAGGAAGATATAAATGGAGAATATTGGAAAGAGGCAGCCATTGTCTTGACCATGGTATTTTTTTGTTCCTACTATAGACCACTTTGAGGGATGCAAGCAATAACAATGGTCCTTAGGTATTTCTTCTTCTATTTTCAAGGTTCTTACACCTTTTCCAACTTCAAATTCCAGCACTTTTCAAGAACTTTTAAGGTGCATTTGTATGCTTTTCCAGCACCTAATAACCACGGTTACTTATGTTTATATTTGTTGTATGTACTTTTTTACATTAATGGCATATTCCATTGTGCCATTTAAAAAATATATATATATGACATTTCAACTTAAATTGTTGGGTACTTTCAAGCATAGGTTTATTGGGATATTTCACCCAAAAAAATGTTAAAAAATAAATAAAAAACAGTTCAGTTACTCGATGAATGTTTTTAAGTTTGGTCTCTTTCTACCTAAAGTTGATATCTCAAGAAATGAGCTTACAGTAATATTTTGTTTGGGTGTAGTACCAAACTTTCATGACCAGTCGTTCATAATATTTCAGGTGCATTGCTATTGTTTTTAAAGTCATTGGATTGGCGTTTCAGGTGCAAAGATGCATTCTGGGTGATTGTCTCCTAATTACATATGAAGCCAATAGTGCCAAAACAATTTGAATTGTGTTCATTTGAATTCTTAAAAACTTAAAACTGTGTTTTTACATACCCAATATCTGCAGTCTTTGAATTTAGATCCAAAAAAACCTGAAGTTTAAAAATATGTCTATAAAAATCTGACTTAAAAAAAATTTCAGATGTTCAATGATCAAGTTAAGAAATAGAAATTCAAAACATTTCTAATAGGACACAATCAGTATTATTAACTTACAATGGTTAATAATTCAATTAAACAATTCAAATTCAGATTGTTTTGGCTTATTATTAGCTCCATAAATACAAGCATGCGGTGAACATTTTGCAATGAAAACTGATCGCACGACAACAATTTATGCACTCGCACATTATGCTCCCAAATATATTTTGAGGTCACAGATAAAATAGTGTGCATATGCAACCAAAACAGTCACAATTTCGAGCCCTGCAAATTCAAATTCAAGCAGGTTCAAGCACACGGTCCAAAATCCAAGCACTTTTCTAACCTTGAAAACACTATATTAAAAAATCAAGCATTTTCAGGATTTCCAGCACCCGTAAGAACCCTGTATATTTTTCATCTTCATAACTTCTGAAACTTCAAAAACATCCACATGTTGATTTAAAAAAAAAAAAAAAAAAAAAAAAAAAAAAAAAAATCGCATGATAGCTGTTTTAACGTAAAGTTATGATTGAATTGCCTCTCGTTACAGTTATGAAATAATTTGACAACAAGCAGGAAATGTTCACAGGCCAATGACATCACCACATTGCAATTGAGCTAAAGTTTTATATTTGCCTATTCGTTCATTTTTTCGCACATTGACAACTTGTAAAATACCCCCTATGTTGTTTTCCAAGCTACTTTGAATATTCAGTCTGAAATTGCATGCAAGTTTATAACTTCAAAATAGGGCTAAACTGTATATTGTTTGAGCATTGATATCACAAGGTGTGTATCTGCAATGGTCACATCGCAGTTTATTATGATCTAATAAAAGATTAAAAGATAAATATATGATCAAATATTCAATTTTCAATTAGTTTTTCAATGATAAGTGTTATTTTACATTTGATTGTTCAATTTCTGTACTTGCGGTTACAGTTACTGTTAGACTGCCCTGAAAACCATAAAGCTCTGTTTATTACTTATTTTTGCTTGTGATTTATAATGATGTATGCAGATGCACTGCAGGGAAAAATACTTAATCCCAGTCAATCTAAATTGATGAAATATTGGCAAATACAGCTTTTCAAATCATCTGGTGTATTTTTATTCATATCGTAATAAATATCGCAGTAAAACAAAATAAATCACAATGTGAGATTTTTACAATATTGTGCAGCCCTATTTCCAAACAACATTAGCTCTATTTAATTGACCGTAAACAATGCTGTTCTTTGATAGTCATTGGCTCTGAATATGATTTTCCTATTCACAAATTGCAAACAAAACTTTTCTGAAATTATTTTAGGAGAAAGTCCAAATGTGCGAACATAAAACAAACTTTACCCCAATTTTAAATGATTTATAGATACTACTGGCTGCTTTTTACTCCCAACATTCTTCAGTATATATTGTTTTGTGTTCAACAGAAAAAATACAATCATAAAAGTTAACAACCACTTGTACACAGTGCGAGTAACTTTTCATTTTCGAATGAAAACAGATGTTCAAACTAGGGCCCTTGAGGCAAAGTTGGCACATGGTATCCTTTGATTTGTCCCACTAACCCATCTGAGAAGAGAGGCAGACCAATGTGGATGGTTTAGAGATTGTCATTTCAAATGTTATGTAATCTTATATTTGTTTGTTTTATTGTTAAGCTATAAAAGCAAATAAAAAGCTGAAAATGGTTCAAATGAATCAGATTTAGTTTAAAATGTACATACTGTCACCCGACGGTTAGAAGATAAAGCAGTGACTTTGGTGATTGAATCAAGGCAAAGGCAGATTCTGCTTGACTAGTGTATTCAGCATTGAACTACACTAATATAAATGTGATTGTTTTTATTGCAATAATTAAAAAGTTATACTGCATTTGTTAATACGATTCAATGTAATGTTTTCTATGTATTTATAAATATAAAACTAATTAGAAAATTACCCATGGCAACTTTAATGTAAAACAGTTTGGTATATTTATCTTCAGCCCATGGTTCTAATGATATTTGGTTTATGGCCCTTCATAAGAAAAAGTTTGGTCACCCCTGCTTTAATTCAACCATACCTGCTCCTCGCGACTCTCAAAAGGGCACTGACATGCATGGCAGAACATCCTGTCCGACACCTCACCAGCAGACATGGTCTTCCTCGGTACAGCATCTGTAGGTTTTATAAAGAGCGTGGTATAAACAGATCAGAATAGACTCCACAGGTCAGTCAGTGTGGGTACCTGTGTGTTCTGACTTTCACCTTCTTAATTTAATTCCTTAGCAAGTTCGGTAACACTTTACAATAACAGTACATGAATAATGATGTATTAATATGTAAACTAAACATTACTTTAATATGAATTAATGATGAGTTTAGGTATGCACTAATTATGAATTAACTACAACATGATTCACATGAGTTCATGTGTGAATAATGGCTACCTTAATTACTTGTTAGTTCATGATTGTTTGTTAATTAATGTATTAATTACCACATTAGTTTATGCTTATTTTAACCATGATGAACTCATGATATGTTAATGTATAATTATGTTGTGACTTTACTTGGAGGGGCACATCATCATTAACCGATTCTTAACTACTCATGAACTCCTTATGCACGTCCAACTAGTGAGTTTACACTGAATAACAATAGAAAAGTGTTCTGTCAACATCAACATGAAGAGGAGTTCATAAGTAGTTAAGGATGAGTTAATAGTGATGTGCCCCTCCAAGTAAAGTCATGACATAACTATACATTAACAGCTCATGAGTTCATGTTGGTTACATTTAGCCTAAACTTAAATGTTAATTAATACATTAATTAACAACATGTACTAACAAGTAATTAAGGTAGTCGTTATTTACACATGAACTCATGTGACTCATGTTGTACTTAAAGTTAATTCATGATTAGTGCATACCTTAACTCATCATTAATTCATAATAAAGTAATGTTTAGTTTACATATTAATACATCATTATTCATGTTTTGCTTTTGTAAAGTGTTACCGCAAGTTCTATATAGTGAAATCATATTAGCAGCCAATGACTATCAAAGTACAACAGTATTCACAGCTATTTGAATAGTGCTAATGTTGTTTGAAGTCATGCGTGCGATTTCAGACCGAATATTCATAGCATGACTAGGAGCAATCAGGGGATGTTTTCATGGAAATTTCAGTTAAAGTAACAGGGGGGACATTCATTTCAGGGACACATTTATTTAAATATTGTATTTATATATTTTAATTATTAACCAAAATAGCATTTGCAGTATTATAACTGTGACAACACAAGATCAATGAAAAGTATACAGTATATATTAGAGTTTTCTAAGTTTGTAACTGAACATGAGCATGCACGACTTGGGACACGACAATTCAGCTGCTTGCACTGAAATCAGAGTAGTTATTTTTAATTTTAATTAATTAAGAACACATATCATTGTGTTCTACAGTGGAAATTGAACAATCCTATCAGACAAGCTGTTTTCACTTACAGTTTTATATATTCTGTACCATATAATGTCTTGGGGACTCGAATAGTATGAATTGCCAGTGTCACAAATTGTTACTGCTCAAAAAAATGAATGACTGTGCGAATATAAAACCAAATTTACCCAAATGTGTGTGTGTGTGTGTGTGTGTGTGTGTGTGTGTGTGTGTGTTTATCGTTACCTTCGGTGTATGGGATAGGCTGTGGAGGGTCAGTCTGGTCCAGCAGGGCAGACACTTCCCTCAGCCCACAAGACACCGTCTGGTCGCCACACAGAGTGAACACACTCCGCAGCTCGGGAGACGAGGACATGACTCAGCAGACAAAACAAGCTATCACTTAAAAACACGAGAATGAAGTGGAATTATATGATAATAGGAACTGGGGTTTTTGAACACGGCAGAAGGAAAATATATGACCGACCTTCGCACCTTATAACGTTACTATTATCTGAAGTATCGGGATTATTGAAAAAAACAAAGCAATGTCCATGTTTTCTCCTAATCTGTCAGCTGCTTCCCTACGAGAGTAAAGTCTGATTCAGCACTTCCAGACAGCAGGCGAACGATACTCCCTCATATTCAGCTTATTTGACCGTCGCTGGCATCAGAGAAAATGTATTTGTTTACCTTTTTGCCAGAACCATCAGATGATTTTAGTCCGATTAAGTTTAAATGAATCATATTAAGTTACACATGTGGTTGTGTTCGTATACGTCTACGGTGGCCGACAAGTGTCATCATTACACTACGGCGCGAACGCGTATGTTCGGATCAGTGTGCGTTAAAGAGATAGTTCACCCAAAACAAAAATTCTATCACAATTTATTCACCCTTTACTTGTATCAAACCTTCAATTAAATTATTAGTGTTATACATATAAAATTGACTGGCCTTTAATTTGCCTTAATACAAAAGCTAAAACAAAAACAAGTAAATGTTACATGGGAATTATTTGTGTATATGTGTAAAACTGTCATTGTATGTTTTTATTGTTGCATGTGCTTGATTCCTTTTCAGATGTATTTCACACACACAACACACACACACACACACACACACACACACACACACACACAAATGATATAAATGTTTAACAAAGTAAAAATTCTACAGAAAAAAATAAAGTCGTGTCAGTTTGGAAAAAAAACATGCAAGTAAATTATTTTCTTTTTATGATACCTTTAAGATTTCTCTTTAGCATTGAAGTTGAATTATCACTTCCTTTTAGAATGATTTCATCAAATGACACAATACATTGCACAAGGGTTATTATTTCCTCATGTTTATTGCAAGTTAAATTTGCTAAAAATAAATATTGAATTTTTGTGTTGTGTTCACTTGCGTGCTCCTCTTTTTCTCACAGTCTTGTCAGTAGTCTTACTCTGGCTGGATGAGCCCGGTTTCACTGAATTCACCTGTGAACCTGGAAAATATCAACAGCACATTATTCTGCATGTTCAGAGGGGCTACTACAGATCATGTTATGCTGTACCTTGTTCTAAGTTTGAATATGCATCAACCGCTTTCTTCAGCTGCTCACGCTTGAGTTTCAGATTACACTCCTGCTCCAGCAGACTGCTTTCCTCTGTCTGCAAACTCCTCAGAAGAGCTTGCTTTGACTCTATAGTCCTGTAACAAATGGAGAATTTCATACCTTAAGCATACTTTACAATGCATGCAGCCAGGGGCAGATTTAGCAATTTTGGGGCCCCAAGCAATTCCGGCCATAGGGCCCAGGTCCTAAAATGCACCCTTTCAACTTTTATTTAATATTTGTTTCAATAAACACTAAACACTAATTAATATAATATTTATTTCATTAAAAAACAAAAGTGGTATTAAGCAAACACACTGTAATTCAAAGTGTCAAATACAATTTCTGGTAAAGAAAACTGTTTCAGTGTTAGACATTTGTGTCTTCATTTCTAAATTGATGCACGAGGGCTAGGAAAAAAACAAGCAATAAAACATCCTCTTGTTTTTGCAGGATAAAACTGAACAAAATAAATACATAGTAGATAGTTTAGTAGTGTCGCCTCACAGCAAGAAGGTTGCTGGTTCGAGCCTCGGTTGGGTCAGTTGGTGTTTCTATGTGGAGTTTGCATGTCCTCCCTGCGTTCGAGTGGGTTTTCTCCGGGTGCTCCGGTTTCCCCTACAATCCAAAGCAATGCGATACAGGTGAATTGGGTGGGCTAAATTGTGTGTGGATGTTTCCCAGAGATTTGTTGCTGCTGGAAGGCCATCCGCAGCGTAATAATATGCTGAATAAGTTAGCGGTTATTTCTGCTGTGGCAACCACGGATTAATAAAGGGACTAACCTGACAAGAAAATAAATGAATGAATAGCTCAGTAGTGTTGCTGTACAATCATACCCAGACAAAGTAAATTCTTCCAACTGACTGATGAGATGTTTCTTCTCCTGCATGATGGCATCCAGCTCAAGTAACGAATTACACAGGCCTTCGTCTTTTTGGACCATCATCATCATCCTCTGGTCCAGCTCTTCTCTGCTAAAGAAGTATGAATAAAACTTGCTTCAATAAGTGAACCTGAAATCCTGATGCATTAAGTCAATTAATTACATAAATGATTTGGTTGTGTTTATTCACTTTAATAGGTTGTTTTGTGCATAATAAATGGATTCCAAAGGCAAATAGTGCCTCTCCATATTAGGGCACCACACTGTAAAAAATGTTTTTTGTTTACGTAAAACCAACTAAAAACAGCTTTGGTAAATTATAAAATTAAGTTAGAACATGATTAACTTAGTAAGTGACAAATGACCTAAAACATATGCTGCCAGGACTAATTGATCAAATAAGTATTTTACAGTGCACTTACAAAAATAACGATAATTTTAGTACAATTAAAATTTATTTTTATACATTATAATTGTATAATCTACTCCATATGATTATTATGATTTGTTGAATCACTTCTTGCTAAATACTCCATGGTTAACAAACTACAAAAACATGTTTGTTTTTTCTTGTAACTACTAAAACAATGGTTATAAATCATACATCCTGGATCTTTATTTCATACGGATAATTATGGTAAATTACGTAAGTATTAGTTACCATTTGTTAACGTCTTTATTTACTCGCTCCACCTCATCATTAGTAAGCTGTAGTTCTGTTTTGGCGTCCTCAAGCTGTTTTGACAAATCCTGACAAGAAAAATGCACAAAACCTGAAGCAGCGTTCGTTCATTTTCGGCGGATAAATAAATACACGCGGTGGAAAGTTTTACCTGTATTTCTTTATCGTCCTGAAACGTGACGTTTAAAGAGTTTTGTGGGGTCTTCATTACTCCAAAGCACGTTTTCTCACACAACCCGATTTTACTTTTTGGTAACGATAAACAACTTTCGCTCGACTCAACGCGTGATTACTAATAAGTAATTTGATTGAGTAACATCTGATTGGATGATACATACTAATTAGACTCCGTTTATATCGAATTTTAATGTTCATCTGTTCAGTTAAAACTTATATAAATATATTATTTGTATTATTCAAGACTAACATTAATAAATCAGTGAATCATTAAAATGATAACGGAAAAACAACATGCAGAAACAATCGCATGAACATGAACTGACTGAAAAAATGGGGCACAGCTTCATCCGCACTATTGTGATTTCCGCCTGATGAGTAGAACGCAAGAGCCCGGATAGCTCAGTCGGTAGAGCATCAGACTTTTAATCTGAGGGTCCAGGGTTCAAGTCCCTGTTCGGGCGATCAAGTTTTATGTGATCTTAGACTAAATTACAACACAGATCACACAAAGATAATAGTAGTTAAGTGGTTAAAACTGAAAAAAATTGTAACGCGAAGAAAAACAGACGTCTGGTTGGCCACTGAGGGTGCACATTATGTAACAGAGGAAGAGTACTTAAAAGGCAACCTGCCTGAAGATAGTAGACAGCAAGTCTCAGTGCACTCATGGAGTTCACACTGCTTATCGTCCTCTTTTTAGCAGGAACATGTTTGTCTTTGCCTTCTCAGGTAACTGAATACAAGTAATACGAGTGTTTATTGTGTTTTTAAGTAGCAGACCAACATATTTGGGTTCATTTCTCTTGCAGGTTTCCCCGAATTTTGGAGCAAGAAGGCAAAGGAGCTACTCTGGTAAAAGTGTGTTGTATTGATTATCATTATTTTGTGAAGATAAATGACATTTTTGAAAGTTGTATCTCTTTTTTTCTAGAAGATATTGAAGAGAATCAAACTGCAATGGATAGGATCATTGATGTGAATGACTACCAAGGTAAAGTTTTTGGAGATATGTGATGCAGATGTTTTAGCTTGTTTTGAGGTAATTTCTTAATTCTCATGTGGTGAACAAAAATTCAGAAGACTGAACAACATTTTAGTTCGATAATGTTTTTAATGTAATTTTTTTGTATGTGTATATATATTTTTTTAAATGTTAAGGTACTAAATTCTGTCTTGCAGCTTTTTAATCAATTTAAGACCTATTAACCATTTTTTGAGCATAGACCTGAAAGTTAACAATTAATTTTTATATCCAATTAAATTAACAATTAAAAACTTTATATATATATATATATATATATATATATATATATATAGTAATATCTATACAATATCAAGTAAAATATTATTTACTGTCATTATGTCAAAGATAAAATAAATCAGCTATTAAAAATGAGAGAAATTGTGGAAAAAAGTAAATAGGGGGGCTAATAATTCAGGGGAGCTATTCTGAATAAAACTGTATATATATATATATATATATATATATATATATATATATATATATATTTTTTTTTTTTTTTTTTTTTTTTTTAAGTTTTTAATTGTTAATTTAATTGGAAATAAAAATTAATTGTTAACTTTCAGGTCTATGCTCAATATATATATATATATATATATATATATATATATATATATATATATATATATATATATATATATATATATATATATATATATACACACACACACACACACACACACACATTCATTGTCATGCTTTGCTTTTTTTATATATTTACAAGCCGTAAACATATTCACTTGGTAGATTATTGTGATCTGGAAAAAAATATGATTTAAAAAAAATGAAATATTTTTATTGTTATGAAAAATGCTATTTTCAAATTTTGTATGAAAAATATATTTGTATAGATAAACATTTTATTCTAAAATGAAAATAAATCAAATACATAATTTTTTTTTAGCTAAAATAAAAAGAAAAAAATTGTTTAAAGTTTTAGCTTGACATCTTTAAATAATATGATTTTGATTGGGCTTAGTACCTAATGTTCCCACTATATAAAATTATTTTCTCATTAATTTCCAGACTGTTTAAATATTTATTTTATTCACATAAAATGGACAGAGCATTCAGTGAAAGTAAAAAAGAAAAAAAATGGACTACTTTAGACTTTCCGTTGACTATAAATATTGGAAACTTTTTAAAGTAACAGTTACAACTTACTCAAGCCCCCTAACCTTAATCTAACAGTGTATGACTAATCACTTGTAGACGCCAAGTTGCGTTTTCAGTTAACAGATAAAGTGTTTTAAACATCCACAGCAATTTAATCTTCTCTAAATAACCTTTTGTGAATTGAAAAGGACTGCAAAAAGTAATTAATGAAAGAATCAATGCCAAAAAAAAGTCTTATTCTCTGTCTCTAGGTGTCTTTTCTGTGGACGGCACCAATCTCAGAGAAGGAGATATTGCTGTGTCTGGAAGGAGTCAGAAGAACTGTTTTGCCAGGAGCTGCCTGTGGACCAAATCTGTGGATGGAAATGTCTACATTGCCTACTCACTCTCTCATGCGTACGGTAAGCAGAAAACCATACACCTTTTATTATCACATACAGTGCCGCAGTAAACACTAACTTGGTTTTGGTTTGACAGACGATGCAGACGTGAAGAACATTAAGGAAGGCATGGAGCTCATCGAACAGGACACTTGTGTGCGCTTCGTGCCCAGAACTCACCAGAGGGACTATCTGGATATTCAGCCCAAAACAGGGTACATTGTAGAAGTATTCTGCAAAAGTATTAACAAAAAAACTCACTGCTGTGGCTGTTAGAAGTTTACAGCTTAAAAATACAGTCAAAAGACGTTTCTAAATGTACAGTGAACTAACATTTTCCATCAACTTATACAATGTGAATACAGCAATGTTGTGAGGTATTAACATCTACATTGTACCTATGAGATGAAACAAATACAAACATGATAAAGATTATAACTAATAACTTTTCCACAAGCAGAGAAGATATAGAATTAATATGTAAAGGTGCTCATTTACTCAACTACTACATACCAACATGCTAACACACAGCACTAAACAGCACAATAAACATTATTCTAACAACATTTAGACTTTTTTGGGTATATCTGCGCAAAATTTTGTAAATAAAAAATTGCAGATTTATGTAGAATGATTATGCATACTCAGAATGAGTATAGTAACTAAAAACTTTAAGCATGAAATAAAAAATAAGAACTATTAAACTATTATTTAAAGTTTACAATGCAAATCTAATTAGATTTATTTGTTTGGTAAACAAAGCAAGTTTCTCATGTAATACAGTGCATCTGGAAAGTATTCATGGCTTCACTTTTTCCACATTTTGTTTTATGTTATAGCCTTATTCCAAAATGGCTTAAAGGAATTTATTTCCTCAAAATCCTACTCATAATACCTCATAATGACAATGTGATTTTTTTTGATTGTTGCAAATTTATTAAAAATAAAAAATCACATCTACATAAGTATTGACAGCCTTTGCCGTGAAGCTCTAAATTGAGCTCAGGTACATTCTGTTTCCACTGATCATTCTTGAGATGTTTCAGCAGCTTAATTGGAGTTCACCTGTGGTAAATTCAGTTGATTGGACATGATTTAAAAAGAAATACACCTGTCATACACCTGCATGTTAAAGCTATGTGCAAACCAAGCATGAAGACAAAGGAATTGTCTGTAGACCTCCAAGATAGGATTGTCTTGAGGCACAAGGCTGGGGAAGGTAACAGAAACATTTCTGCTGCTCTGAAAGTTCCAATGAGCACAGCGGCCTCCATCATCCATAAGTGGAAGATGTTTGGAACCTTACCTTAGTCAGGGAGGTGATCAATAACCAGATGGTCACTCTTGCTGAGCTCCAGCGTTCTTCTGTGGAGAGAGGAGAAACTTACAGAAGGACAACCATCTGTGCCGCAATCCACCAATCAGGCTTGTATAGTAGATGGCCAGACGGAAACCCCTGAAATTTGCTAAAAGGCATCTGAAGGACTCTCAGACCATAAGAAACAAAATTCTCTGGTCTGATGAGACTAAAATTGAACTTTTTGGAGTGAATGCCAGGCGTTACCTTTGGAGAAAACCAGGCCCCGCTTATTACCAGGCTAATACCATCCCATGGTGGCAGCATCATGCTGTGGGGATATTTTTCATCAGCAGGAACTGGAAGACTAGTCAGGACAGGGGGGAAAGATGAATGCAGCAATGTACAGAGACATCCTGAGTGAAAAACTTCTTCAGAGTGCTCTTGACCTCAGACTGGGGCGACGGTCCATCTTCCTGCAGCACAATGACCCAAAGCACATTGCTAAAATATCAGTGGAGTGGCTTCACAACAACTCAGTGAATATCTTTGAGTGGCCCAGCCAAAGCCCAGATCTAAATCCTATTGAACATCTTTGGAGAGATCTGAAATTGGTTGTACACTGTCGCTTTCCATCCAACCTGATAGAGCTTAAGAGGTACTGCAAAGAGGAAAAAGCAAACAATCCCGAAGACAGGTGTGCTAAGCTTGTGGCATCATATTCAAAAAGACTTGAGGCTGTAATCTCTGCCAAAGTATTGAGCAAAGGCTGTGAATACTGATGTACGTGTGATTTAAAAATATATATATATTTTAGCTTTTTTATTTTCAATAAATTTGCAACAACTTTTTTCACATTGTCATTATGGGGTATTGTGTGTAGAATTTTGATGAAATTAATTAATTTAATCCATTTTGGAATAAGGCTGTAACATAAAAAAATGTGGAAAAAGTGAAGCGCTATGAACACTTTCTGGATGCACTGTATAAATACTTAAACACAGTTTGTAAATAAATGATATCAATAGTTTATAAAATTACTGGAATTAATATAAAAACCAAATAAATGTATATTTATTAGTTTGATCTCACAAGGGAACATAAGTATTTTGCGTTTTGTCAGTTTAGTTGCTAATTCCTACGAAAGTTTAGTCATACGAAAAAGTATGATTTTAAAAGTAGGCATCGCACATAACCCCACCCCTAACTTCAACCCTCATTGGGGGATGAGCAAATCATACTAAATAGTACGAATGTGTACGAATTAGCCACTAAATCAAAAAGTTACGATTTGATGTGAGCTCGTGTTGATATTTACACACAATTACATAAGTAAATAAATACACTGTTTCTGTGTGGGCCTACATACTGTATAATTTTAATGTGCATACCTGATGCAAAACAAAACTAAAAAGAAAGATAGTAATCAACAACAACAAACTACCCACATACACAAATAAATTTAAGTGTCTCGCTGGGAACTGAAAGTCAGTTTACGGTTATTAATTGTATTGAGTAAGAAAACGTACAATTTACTATTAACCGATTATTACAGTAGTGCTTTTTATATATTTTCCGTCTTATTAAAATCACAGCCGTTTTTTTTAAAGAGTATAAACATCTTTAATATTAACATTGGCTTCACCCTGAGTGGATCTCATTGTTTCTTATCAAGGTGTTGGTCATATTTGGGGGCACGTGGTGGTAGACAAACCATTTCTCTACAATCGCCCGACTGCACCGGGTCTGGGGTCACTGTGCATGAGCTGATGCATGCTTTGGGCTTTGTGCATGAACAATCCAGAGCCGACCGGGACAAGTATGTGACCATCATGTGGTCTAATATATGGAAAGGTACAGTAATGTCCTTATATTTTTAGATGTAAAGTCAATATGAAGTTGTTTAATCGATTACTCACACTTCTGTTCATATATTTAAATATTTATAGACAGGCTGAGGAATTTCGAAAAGTTTAAAACAAACAATTTGGACACCCCGTACGACTACAGCTCTGTGATGCACTTTGGAAAGTAAGTCAACATTCATTTGAAATGATAACTGAAGAGATGTTTAAAAAGTGCAATTATCATAGAATTATTGTTTATTTCAGGTATGCCTTTTCTGAGGATGGAGAACCAACTATTGTGCCGAAAAGGAACTGGAATGTGAAGATTGGACAGAGATTGGGACCCAGCGACTTGGATATAATGAAGATTAATAAACTGTACAGCTGTAATATGCAGTAAAGTCCATACACAGCAACGAATGATCCATCAGAAGGATTTTATCTGAGATTAATGCTTATTTTAACACTTTGCTTGACATTAAATAGTTAATTTTGAGATTGCTAATATAATAATAATTATTAATCATTTTATTTTGTAACCAGCTGTTTCAGTTTATATATCCTTTCATGTTCAGATATTCTGACATCATGTCTCAAATAAACACATTACACCAATAAAACGTTTCCATACTATTATTTTTCATTCATTCATGTCACTGTGAAATGTTTTAAACATCCAAATGAGAGCTGCATTAAAATCAATCACACTGGTCACAGTCAAATAAAGAATCAGCTCAACTCAGAGCTAATAAATACGTATGAAGTCATTGACACTATCAATTACACAAGCTGAATTTTAAACAACCGGTTATTAGCTGTAATGCACAAATGATAAGTTTAAGAATGGGATGAGGGGTATTTACACACACCATGTGTTTGGTATATATTGTAAACACTGCTCAAATGATTATTAAGATGCTGTTCAGGGATAAAGATGAGTTTGAAGACTGCATGCATGTGTTCTGCTTGCTCAGGGTGAATAACACTAGAATCAGCACAATTTCAGACTATCATTGTAGTGATCAATCTTAAAAATGCTGAAGTGTCGAGTCACAGCTAACTGTTGATGCGAATGCTTCACAAACCTTTCATTAGCGAAATACACCAATATGAAATAATCACACAGGATGCAACTGGGTGTAAAGATGGGTGGTTCTCTGAGTAGGCATATATGTTCAGTCTGAATGACCTTACCTTTAGTTTGCGGTTGCATCCAGGACGCACTAAAAAGTGACCACCAAGATGCTCTGTGTGGGTATTTTTGTGGGATTGGTGTTAGAATCCTGGTCTTTACCTGTGCAGGTAGGAATGGCAGAATTTTACTTTGAAAAATAATGGTTCTTTTTTTGCCATTGATAGATTTATGAAGATATATAACTTTTGTGAAATCTTTACCTTGCACATAATGCTTTATATAGTAGAGTTATTCTTTGGGTTGTTAAAATATGTTTCAAATTAAGAAAAGAAATGCTCGTTTTAAGAACTGTTGGTTAGTTCACCACAAAAAAGACCACAAAGATGGCTCACAAACTCACCTTTGACTTGTACCAAACAGTTAGAGGTTTTTTTTTTTCTGTTGAACACAAAGGAATATATTTCTAAGGATGTTTAAAACCTATAACCATTGACTTCCATAGTAGGACAAACAAATAATAGTAAATGGTTATATGTTTTCAGCTTTCCTTAATATGTATATATTTTTGTGTTCAACCAAGCAAAAATAAAACAACAACTACAAATGCTTTCAGAACATTTAGACATTTTAAGAGTCAAAAGTAAATAAAAGGATGAACTATCACTTTAAAGCTAAAATTAATTTTTAATGCATTTTAAAGCAATGCTGCAACTGTTAATGAGATTTAAATAATTTCATCAACAGGCGCATTAACTTACACATTTATTTATATATTTTTTTGGGGTTATTAACACTTTTGAACTGCATTTCATTCTTAAATACACTGAACACTTTCTTTACTGGTATTGATTGATTGTTCCATGGAGCCTTTTTATTACACAAAAAGTTCTTTATCATAGAAAAATGTTTTTAGGATTGCGGAAATGTTTGGAGCAGAACTGAAGGTCCCACATTATCATACAAAAGCAAACACTGTAAAAAATTAAATGATAAAAAGTCATGACAACCAATGTTTGGTGTTACTTTTAGTTAATTTAATAAGTTAATCCGGTTTTAACAAAAAATTTTGTAGCTGTACAAAGTTAACAACATATTTTAGTTAGCTTGACTGATTTAAGTTGAGAGGACTTGAAAAGTTAATTTGCTTCAACTTTTTTAAATTGATTAAATAATTTTTTTTTTTTACAATGAATTTATCATAACACATATAGACCATGTGCCATTGGTAACTATTAGTAAACATAACCTGTTTTAAATCCCTTTTTTGTGTTATGTATGTGCTATAGATGTCTTATAAACATCTTTATTCTTTATTAGAACTCTTCATTGGTTCATCAAACCAGACTGAGGTCAAAAAGAGAGTACACAGGTAAACTATATTCAACAGTATGCTGTTTTTATATATATATATATATATATATATATATATACAGTATATATATATATATATATATATATATATATATATATATATATATATATATATATATATATGTGTGTGTGTGTGTGTGTGTGTGTGTGTGTATGTGTGTGTGTATGTATATATATATATATATATATATATATATATATATATATATATATATATATATATATATATATATATGGTAAATACACTATTTCTACTCTACTCGACAGAGCAATATGTGGACCCAGAAGAGATGAACGCCATGGACAGGATCCTCAGAGCAAATCAACGTATGTGCACCACAGATGCAAATATCTATTTTGGCTCGTAAAATGACTATTTGAAAGCATGTGGTTATCGTCCTCCGCCAGTCTCCAGAGGGTTTCCATTAAGAGAGGGAGACATACTGAGTCCAGGATCCCGCAGTGCCATTACCTGTCTAGGAGATTCCTGCCGCTGGCCCAAAGCTGTGGACGGATTTGTGTATGTACCATACATCATGTCCACATTATATGGTAAGTATAAGATAATGCACTGTAAAAAATGCTGGGTTCCACACAATTCCTTCATGTTGTTTCAACTTAAATCAATTAAGTTCACTCAACAGTTTTTGCCAAATTAAGTAGATTGACATAATACAATAAAGTTGACCTAAAAACCTTAAGAATTGTGTTTTCAACTCAAATTAATTAAGTTTACTTAATAGTTTTTCAAATGTACGTAAGTAGATTGAACATAAAACGCTAGGTTGTTCCAAACAAAACCTTAAGAGTTGTGTTGTTTTAACTCAAATCTATTATGTTGGACAAACCCTAAATGTAATTTTTTGACTAAAGTGAGTCCATGCGTCGTCATAGTTCTGAATTATTTAATTTTTCTCTCCAACAGATGATATGGACAGAATCACGATAGAAACAGGGATGTTGGACATTTCCTCGTCAACCTGTGTAAAGTTTGTCCCTCGCACACATCAAGCAAACTTCCTCAATATTCAGCCTAGATATGGGTGAGTCCAATGGATTCATTTTAAGTCATTTATTAATGTTTGGATTGATTGGTGCCACTGGCGTAGCTGATACACTGCCCCTTCTCCCCCCTGTTCCACGTTGACAGTATGCACACAAATTCAATAGACAGCATTGGCAATTTAATATTTACACTAATAGAAGAAGCTGTATTAATAATATTGTGGCTCAAAAAGGAATATGGATAAATGATATTATTAGAGTCTATATAGTGAGTGTGTATGTACAGTCATGCCTTTTGTTTATTTGTTTGTTTTATTAATGAATTCCTTAATCTTCATTAATTTTTGGACATGGCATATGCTGTATGATGTACAATAAAAGTATGTGAAAAAAACTGAAAAGTTATTTATATATATATAAGTGTTTTTAAACTAAATATTGTTTTTTTAATTTTATTGAATTTGAATTTATTTATTTTTTTAGCAATAAATTGCGATATTTAAAGACTAATTAATTAAAACCACATTATCATTATGATGAATTAACATTACACTGAAATCACAACTTTTTGTGTGTGTGTGTGCCACCCCTAGATTCAGTGCAGCCTCTTCTAGCCACCCCTAAAAAAAAAAAAAAAATCTGGGGGCGCCTCTAGGCAGCAGCAGTTCATCTGTAATTTATTGCAAATCAATTATAGCAAAATCCTATACTGTATTTACATTTACAGCCTCATTTATCTTGCTCTATATGTAAATATAGTATTCTATACAGCAGCAGTTCACAAACTCGGTTCTGGAGGGCCGGGGCCTGGAGCTCCAACTCGCCTCAACACACCTGCAAGGATGTTTCTAGAAAGCCTAGTTAGAGCTTGATTAGCTAGCCCAGGTGTGTCTGATTGGGGTTTGAACTAAACTTTGCACCGGCCCTCCATCACTGAGTTTGAGAACCCCTGTATATTGTATATAGTCATTTTCATTAAGAACTTAAAATACTGTAACATACTGCACAACCATCCTATAGTAAAATACAGTTTATATTACAGTTAAATACTATGTAAAACTGTTAAAACTATATTATAATCTGTTGACTAGCCCATAACTTGTTGGTACACAGATGTTTTATGTTTATTTTAACCTTTAAAATGTATTTTAGGACCTTGATCTTATGTTGTTGGAAACTGAATATCTAACTCTTTAGATAAACAGAATGATTTATTAAAAAATATGATTAGTTTGTGTGTAAAATAATGTATGCAGAAATTAATTTGAATTCTTATAAAACAAATACTGGCAGCTTATTATTAGTTTTTGTCCCATTATTTACATGACCCAGACGATATATCATTTCAAACTACATTAATTTATTCATTCATTTTCTTTTCGGCTTAGTCCCTTTATTAATCCGTTGTCGCCACAGCGGAATAAACCAGCAACATATCCAGCACGTTTTTACGCAGCGGATGCCCTTCCAGCCCCAACCCATCTCTGGGAAACATCCACACACACTCATTCACACTCATACACTACAGACAATTTAGCCTACCCAATTCCCCTTTTACCGCATGACTTTGGACTGTGGGGGAAACTGAAGCACCTGGAGGAAACCCACGTGAACGCAAGGAGAACATGCAAACTCGACACAGAAACACCAACTGACCTAGCTGAGGCATGAACCAGAGACCTTCTTGCTGTGAGGCGACAGCACTACCTACTGCACCACTGCGTCGCCAATAAGTGATGTTAAATATGTATTACTGTGATTACAAATGAATTATTTTGCAGCAAAACAGTATTTTAAATGCTCAATATATTCATTTACTAATTAATTTTAATAATTTAAGGTACAAAATGTTACTGGGGCAGTACAATTTCCAAATATACACTGCTGTATGTAAATTTATTTAATTTAATATTTAATTTAAGCGTGCGTATGAATATCATCAAAGTACAACAACAGTAAATATTAGAGGTAACATGTACATACAGTTTAGTAATAGTACAAACCTTTAGCACAGGTACGACTGACAGACAGCATTTGTACCTATATCATTTTATTTATTTACTAATAAAATACCTCACTGTTTGTCCCGTCAGCTGCTGGTCATATCTGGGAATGACAGGAGGCAGTCAGACGGTCTCTCTGCAGTCTCCAGGCTGCATGTGGTCAGGAGTGGCGTCCCATGAGCTCATGCACGCTCTTGGTTTTGTACACGAACAGTCCCGCTCTGACCGTGACCGCTACGTTTCCATCCTATGGGAAAACATCATAGAGAGTGAGTTATCATCCAGCAGTGCTGTAATTATTTGAGCTGAGGCATTTGGTATGGTAGTGATATGCGTGGTTCCTTTCATACAGATCAAAGACACAACTTTAGAAAGTATGAGACCAACAACCTCAATACCGCATATGACTACAGTTCTGTCATGCACTACGGGAGGTGAGTATTGGAAATCTAGTGTATAATGTGCGCAGTAATAAAACTCTTAAAGTGTTAGCTCACCCAAATATAAAAATGCTGTTATTTCTTGCTCATCCTCATGTTATTATTTGCTCACGACATTTGTTAATCTTCAGAACAAAAATTAAGATATTTGATCCTCCAAAGACAGCAACGATCATGAGATTCAAAGCGTTCCATAATGGTATATACAGTAAGAAGCTCCAAGAACAACTGAAAAGTTATTTTTAGTTTTTTTTTTTGTGCACAAAAGTGTTCTTGGATCTTCATGATTATTGTTGAATAGTTTTCATAGTTTCATTGTTTTTTTTTTTTTTTTGCCTAATGTAAAAAACATGCAATATGCATCTAAATGTTTCTTTTGTCTCACTTTATTAATCTGTTCAGATCAATTTCAATTACAGCTCTTTTTTAAAGGCTGTTTTCTCAAAATGAGAGCCTTGGAGCCATACATCTCTGCTTCAGCAATACTTACATATAACAAACAACACAGTTTCACATAAACAACATTTCATGTTACTAAGAAATGCTAAAAATATATATTTTTTCTGACTTTTCCTAGCGTTTGGAATAAAGAGATTTCCCAAATCACTTCCACAAAGACCTAATTCTAATTAAAATGAAGACTAATGGAACCTGACTTCCTCTATTGTTCACATTGTTGTGCTATAAATGTTTGCAAATCTGTGCATCTTTAATCAATTAATTAACATAACATTTTAATCAATCTTAGTTAACTGTTGGGAAGTATGGGGTTAAATATTATCAACAATGTTTTTTATCCTCTATTCACCTGCTGTGTTTTGCCTTAATACTCAAAATTGTATTGTAAATTAGAGGGGGGCCTATAATTCTGTAGGCACAGGACATCAACATGACGTCATATTGACGTTATACCACAACGTCGTAGGGATGTTGGATGTTGTTTGGAAAAAAAAATGAGTTGACGTCAGAACACAAAGTCTGGTCGACGTCCATGTCCAATAATCAACCTAAAATCAGCCAAATGTCAACGTTAAATCATGTTACACCTTGATGTTGTATGGATGTTACCACTATGACATCTCTCAGACGTTTGATTTTGGTCACTTTGCATCACAACCTAAAATTAACCAAATATCATGGTAATTTGACGTTGTCATGGACGTCAAAATAAGATCGTCCTTAGAGGCTGGCTAGATATTGAATTTTGGTCACCTGACGATATGACCTAAATCTAACCTTATATTAACATCTTATGATTTTGTGTTCCTGCTGGGATGCCCCTTTTTACAACATGTAAATTAAGTCTCTGACTTCCTCAGACTAAGTATGTGACATTTCACCTCAAAATACCCAGAAGAAAACGTTTGAAATTGCCACTTTTAAAATTTGATCCAAAACATGGCTTTTTGGTATTTGTTGCTTTAAATTTAACCAATAAACAAAAACTGGTGCACACACACAGGTATGCCTTCTCAGAGGATGGGGGGCCCACCATCATTCCTAAACCAGACCCTTACATTCCCATTGGCCAGAGAGACGGACCAAGTATTCTGGACATTCACAAAATAAACATCTTGTATAACTGTGGTAAGGATTTGATTCACTTTTTGTAACTTAGTTTTCTATATGCTTGACATCTGTTGATGTGTTTTGCTTGTGTCCAACAGGTGGCCTTGTGTGAAACATTGATTGGAATAGATCTACCAACAGACATCATAAATTTAAAACTCACATTTCCTTCTAATGTTAAGTGTTATGAGAAGTCCAGAATTATGTGAAAATGTATGTTTTCAAAAAAGACATGTTGATCATGATCCCCTACAGCACTAGAACTGTTTTTGGACTAATGACTAGGGCCAGACGGAATCTGCGGATGTTTTTTGCTATTTTTGAGGAGAATTTTGCTAAAAATCTGCGGATTTCTGCTGAATTATTTTGGGAGTATCGTAACTAAAACCTTAATATATGAAAAAAAAATAATATCTTTTTAACATTTATTTAATGTTAAAATGCAAATCCAGTCAGATTCATTTTATTTGGTAAACAAAGCAAGTCTCTTATAAAAAAATCTACTAAAAGACAGAAAATTTTACTGTACAAACTGCATTGTACATAAATCAGATGAACATTTTCATATTAGTCAATAATTTCAGTTTAAAAACTGAATATATATAAATTCACACTCATTTACTCAAGTAAATCAACAGAATTAATGATGGGCTAAAAATCTGCAGAATTCTGCGGAAAATCTGCAAGAAATTTGTGGAATTCTGTGCACCCAGATTCCGTGTAGGCCTACTAATGATATGCTGTATGAAAGTATCCAAAATGAAAGGTTTTTAGAAATGCATGTTTTGTATTCATATTGGTTTGATATCATTTTGAAATTTATTTATTATAGTTTTAATTAAATGAACCTTAATACTTTATGTTGTGGTAGAGGTCAGAACTAAGTCAAGTAATCTTTTACTAAATTATATGTTATGCTCAATGAAGACATTAATTCAAGTATGTTTTGACATTTATTTTCCCAAAAGTTATATGAAACATTAAAGTGGACAGATTGTTTGGATTTAAAATGCTTTCTATGAAATCCTTTTTTGAGTTCAATTTGGAGCAGACAACAAAACAACATCCTTGTTTTTGACCTATCTATGCATTAATCATAATTTTTCAAAAATAAAAAAGTATTAAAAAATATTTTCATTATAATTTCATTTTAATATTAACAATTTTAGTTTTTATTATTGTTTTTATGAATTGCTCATTCATATATCATTGGGCAGTCATAACATGACACATTTTTAAACTGAGCTAATAGATCTGCAAGGTTCCTTTCATAAAATATCACACGAAATTATGAATTCACAAATTATAACATTAGATTTTAGAACTGCTATATTTAGGATTGAGTGTCATTATCTTCACTGATATAATGAACATGACAATAAATCCCATAACAGACCAGTCTTGAGTTACATTTATATGTCATTTTGTAAGACCATTCAAAACATGACAGAAATGCAAAAACATTTAACTTCTGCCAAAAACTATAGATGATTTTTTTTTTACCTCTAATGTGCTCTCTTGTGTTGAAAACCCATCTTCATGGACATCCTTGACCTTCCCCTCCGTCGTCTCTTTCTGCAAATTCTTGCAGTCACCTTTGGCTTTTCACTGTCCAGGGTTAATAAACTCCTCAGAAAGTTGAAGGAGAGGTAGAGAGACAGATATGCCAGAAAAAGATAACAGGACCATAGAATCAGCATGCCATCCAAAAATAAATTTGAATCAAAAATAAAAGCATCAAAAGAGTGATTGCCAAAAAAATCACCTATTTCTCTCTTTAAATCTTTGAAATAAATCTAATCCAGTACAGTATAGTGAACTGATAACCTGAAATGTGCTGCAACCCTTCATCTTGTCTACTCTTAATTCAGGTAGTCTATGCTAATCAGCTTGGATTAGATAGTACTCTCGCCTATCTTTAATTATTAAGATTTTGCAAAACCCTTACTGACTAGACTTAAGTTTGGCAGAGGCTTGTTAGACATTTATGATTGAATCTTGTACTCTAACCAATATGTGACAATAAAAACAATAAAAGAAGTATTACTGATGCCACAGTACTCATAAAAGACTATAGATGGTCTTGAGATTCTGATTTGTGTAAGCCACTTTTAAATCCCATGAAGCCACAGGAGTGGATTTGTAAATGGTGAATGGTGTGATCTCATGTCTGGATTACATTCATTCTAAATAATATGCATTTTAGTGGTCTCAATGTAGTTACTTTTTCAGAAAATGTGTATCCACTCAAGGGAGTGTTTGATTTTGTCTGAAGCATATGGTGAATATCTAAATTTAAAGTGTTAAAGGCTGAAATTAATAGATCAAAATAAAGTAAAATAGTAATTGTGTGCAATATTTATTCTAATAATATTCAAGTGTCTCCTTTTTTAATACATGTTTTTTTTTTTTTTTTAATTTCTGTTTCATTCAGAACTGTCATAATTTCCAGAATACATTTATTTGGTGTGAACAATGAATAAACAATGATAAAGTGATTTGTTGTCCTGGATTAAAGCATAATCAGAAATAAAAACAAACATAAATATATAAATGTATATATTGACACCATCAAACAAACTGTTAGTAACTACAAAAATATTACAGTTTTGACCTTCTGGCAGTGTTGGGAGAACAAGTAAGTTCAGGTCACTTGTTTTTACGTAGAATCTTCTTCTTGTTTTATTAGCTTGCAAACTGTGTGCATTACTGCCATCTGCTTGACTGAAGTAAGTAACCCCGCTGATGCTATACCACCCAATCCACTCCAAGCTGGTATCAAACCAGAAATCTTCCACATAGGAGTCGGGTGCTGTACCAAAGAGGCTAAAGTCCTTAGCCTACAGCGTCTGTCGCTAGAGCACCTTTTAGAGGTCAGAGGAGTGAGGTTTACCTGCACAGCACTTACTAGCTGGCCTCTGTTACACAAGCAGTTTTATTTTCAGAAATTCTACAACTGCTTACTTGTTCATTAATTGTGTTCCAGGCAGACTCAATAAATATTGTTATCAGGAGTACATGTTTCACAGATTCTGGTTCAGTTTCTTATAATATAACAATGATAATGAAAATAATTAATTTATACAGTGCTTTTCTGGGCACTCAAACTTTACACATGGTGGGGGAAGGGGGATCCACCACCAATGTGCAGCAATCACCTGGATGACGCGACGGCAGCCATTTTGTGCCGGACTGCACACCACACACCAGCTGATAGGTGGAGAGGAGACAGAAGCTGCGTCCCAAATCGCATACTTATGCACTATTCTACGCCATTTTGTAGTATAAATAGTGTAAGTAGTGCGTTCACACTGAAAACTCTGAAAATAATAAGTGTACTTTAATTACCCGGATGATGCACTCAGTCAGCCTGTAAAATGAAGTGTGTATGATGGACACTTCACGCACTCAACGACCGCAGGTTTGCTTACGTAGGCGGAGCTATTGGACGCACATGTTGGATAACTTTATTTATTTTGGATGGTGAAAGCAAAATTCTCCTACGAGAGTGATTATAGCGCCTCCTGATAGTGAATGCGGCAATATTCACGGCAGGTATTATTTGATAATTCGGTCGTTTATTTCACTTATTTGGCAACTGTCAAACGTCAATAGGGAAACGGTTTGAATTTCCGCTTAGTAAAAAAACATTAGTGTGCCATTTGGGACGACAATACATACATGTACTATCCTGTTGAGTGCGTAAGTGTATAAGTACATAGTGCATGAGTGCATAGTGTATAGTGTGCCATCTGGGACGCAGCAAGAATGATGAAGCCAATTATGATATGGGGAGAGTTGGGAGGCCATGATGAACAGAGGCCAGTGGGCAAATTTTGGCCAGGATGCCGAGTGAAACCCCGACTGTTTTTCGAAGGACTTCCTAGGATTTTTAATGATCACAGAGAGTCAGGACCTCTGTTTAATCTCTCATCCGAAAGATGGCGCTCACTGAGCAGTATAGAGTTCCCTTCACTACAATGGAGCATCAGGACCCACACAGACCGCAGGTTGAGCACCCCCTTCTGGCCCTACTAACACCACTTAAAAGCTTATAAAATTTTTCTAAAATGTTTATATGTATTTTTTCTATGTTCAAAGTAGCATACACAATAACTTATAGAAATGTTTTTAAAATTAGACTATGTGGGATATATTTGTGTGGAAATCAATGATTAGACCCTCTATCCTGCCTTTTGTTTTTTTTTCTATTTCTTTTCTCTTATTAAATCATTCTTGTTAAGCCATAACAAGATAAGTGAAATACTTATGTTGTAAAATGAAATTGCACATGCTAGCATTTAAAAATACACAGAAAGAGAATCTTCCGTCCAAACCGTGTTATTTATTAAATTACCTATTAATTGCATTTTATTAACGTCTACCCATACCTTAACCCTCACAGCAATGTAAAATATGAATTATTGTTGTACACTGTCACAAATAAATAATGCTTAATATTGATGTGAGAGTTTAGTGACTCCTGCTGGTCCAGTAAATATCTACAGCACAGTGTTAAGCGAGTGTCTCCCAGTCGCGTGGTGGCGCTGTTCAGACTGCTCGCATTGGCGCACGCGGGCTGCTGCTCATTCAAAACACTCGACTATACAGTTTCAAATCCGGATGCTCCAGGAGAGCAGAAAAACATCATGAAAACACACTTATATTTGAGTCTTTGCGTGGTATACAGAAGTATGTAAATGGCCACAAAGAAGTAATCGGCATTCTCACAAGTAAGCTACTACATTATATTTGCACTTTAACAAGCGATCAGAGTTACGCGTGAAATGTTATTATCTGGATCAGACATTGATATCTGAATTAGATGTAGTCATACTGAAATTCTCCCGTACTGTAACGTAATGTAATGACTGAATGACCGAAGGAAAGTCTGGCTTAATAGAGCTATCAAATCACAGTGCGCTATTTATCATCGTATTTAAGCTGCATATAAACTTTAATACAATGTGTTGTCTATGATCACTTTCTGCTAGAAAGGTTTGCCAGTACTTCATAGTAGACATTAGATACAAAAAAAATTGTTGCATTAAGGCAAGAAACTGCTAACAAAAATCTTTTCATGATTTACCAGATCAAATTCAAAATGTGATCTGTTTGAAAAGTGTTTTCCCCAGTGTTATGTGAAGAAAACTTCCAAAATGCACCTTTAATTAAAATTCCGAATTATGGCGTGAAAAACATAAGTTTACAAATCCCCTTCTGTAAAAAAAAAACATTTACTTCATGTCAAATTAAATGTATAAAACAAGAATTTTCAAATTGAATGCATTCATTCAGTGTTCAGATTTGTGTGCAAAATGTATTTAAAATTTGTAGAAAACTTGTGATAAAAATGCTTTGAAACCTAATATATTCAATCAACTGTAAAACATAGTGATAACTATTAGTTATTGATTTTTTTACCCTCTTCACCTACATTCTTGCCTTAAAGTGACAGTTTACCCAGAACTGTACATTTATCCAATATTTAGACACTCAAGTGGTTTCAAACCTTTATCCATTTCTTTGTTTTGTTGAAGAAAGCTGAAAGTAGGAAAAACAAGTGCCGTTGAGGTCAGTGGAGGTTTCCAGCATTCTTCAAAATATGTTCTTTTATTCATTCATTCATTTTCTTTTCGGCTTAGTCCCTTTATTAATCAGGGGTCGCTACCAGCAGAATGAGCCGCCAACTTATCCCACACATGTTTTACGCAGCGGATGCCCTTCCAGCTGCAACCCAACACTGGGAAACACCCATGCTTAATCTTTCACACACATACACTACGGATAAATTGGCTTATTCAGTTCACCTGTACTGCATGTCTTTGGACTATGGGTGAAACCGGAGCACCTGGAGGTAACCCACGCAAAAACAAGGAGAACATGCCAACTCCAACCCAGGGCTCAAACCAGCGACCTTCTTGCTATGAGGCGATTGTGTTACCCACTGCGCCACCGTGATGCCCTATATTATTTAATTCTTTTATTTTCAACAAAAGAAAGAAACTCAAATATATTTGAAAGAAATGGAGGGTAAGTAACGGATGGCAGAATTGTCATTTTTGGGTGAACTATCCCTTTAATGTTGTCAGCAGAGATGCTCTAATCAGGATTTTTGCAGCCAATCTCAAGTACCGATTCCTTGTTATGGTGATCAGCTGATACAGAGTACCGATTCTAAAGCTTAATAATGCATAAAGCACATTTCCTCTCTAAGTATGATACTTGAGTGAAGTTTTTTCCTTACCGAAGAGAATAAATTAATGATGTTGCATATAATCCCTTAAACACGCCTCTTATAACCATTTGATGTGAACATGTCATGGCCAGAAGCAACTTTACAGAAAGTGACAAAGCAATTTGGAAATGTTGCAAATGATGGAAGAATAATTCAACATGTCACAATCAAGAAAGTTTGGAGCACATATTTGATGCATAAGAAGTTAAAATGCACATCTAAAAATTCATTAACTCTTTACTTAAAGGAAACGGGCCTATAAACTGCTGTTTATTGCAGTACGTGTATTGTAAGAAGTTATACTAGTTTCTAGAATAGAATTCAAGCAATCAGTGCGTCACATTATATTTTATTATTTATTATTATTATTTTTGCAGCTGATGGCTGAATATGGAATCAGAACTGTTGATTGGCTGGCAGGAGGAGAGGGCAGAGCTGAGGGCGGAGCTTTCACGTCTGCAGGATGAATTGGCTGAGAGTAGAGCGGAGAGGGAGGAGCTTGATTCTCGAGCTCAAGCGTTGACTGACAGGGTAAGAGGAGTCGGTTGTCCATCAATAACTTGTGTGATCCATCAGCAACAGAGAGTACACATGCTAAAATGATGTTCTCTGTGTGTGTTTGTGCTGCTCAGCTGTCTCAGACGCTGGACCCTTCTCTGTCATCATCAGTGCGTCTGGATGAAGAGCAGAGAGAATGGAGGAAGAAGCTCAGAGAGGGCAGAGAAAGAGAAGCCAGACAGGCTCTGCTCATCCATAAACTTCAGCACAAGGTGTGAAACCACACAAACACAATCATGCAATCCTATTTCTACCACCAATAAAGCCCATTTGTATGGACGCTCTAAAAGGACTTTGTGATTTATAATCAAACTGAATAAAAATCAATATTTAAAGGCACAGGCTTTCTCCCAAGGAATTTGCCATTCACTTGCAAAACTTTTGTTATGGAAAGAATATGAGCTGCAGGAGAATTATGATCTTTTAAAAACTTTTTTTGTTGATATTTATCTCTTTTCAAAGTTTCTTGCAGAAAGCAATACCCCTGCAAAACATTCTTTTATATATACACACTACCGGTCAAATGTTTGAATTCATTTTTTTTCTTTTTTTTTTTTTTTTTTGAAGAAAATGATTCTGTTCATCAAGGCAGCATCTATTAAAAATAATTAAAAAAATATTTATTAAAATTTTAAATAACTGCTTTTCTATTGTATATAGTTTGAAATTATAACTCTAATCATTATTGTTTTTATTAATATTACCATTAGTAATATTATTATTATCATTAATAATAATAATAATAATAATAATAACAACAACAGTAATTAATATTAGAGTGATTTCTGACGGATCAAGTAACTTTGAAGACTTGAGTAATGAAGCTGAAAATTGATCTTTTAAATCACTAGAATAAATTATTGAATTAAATTCTAAACTACTTTTGAACAGTTATTTTATAGTGCAATAACATTTCATAATTTGAATTTTTGATTGAATTTTTTTGATTAAATAAATGCAGCCTTGGTGAGCATGATGAGCTTATTTTAAAACATTTAAAAATTCTACTGACCCCAAACTTTTGACCGATAGTGTGTGTGTGTGTGTGTGTGTATATATACGTACACAAATATACTGTGTATGATACTGTGTGTGTGTGTGTGTGTGTATATATATATATATATATATATATATATATATATATATATATATATATAAACAGTGCTCAGCATTTGATAATTTTTTTATACATTCCCTAGTAAACAAGTGATATATTTTGGTGCATTTGATTTATTAAACAGATATATTTACTAAAATTGTTTTAGTCACCTAACATCTATAGCATAGGTCTCAAACTCAATTCCTGGATGGCCGCAGCTCTGCATAGTTTTGCTCCAACCCTAATCAAACACAGCTGATCCAAATATTAAAGATGTTTAAAAGAGTCATGAACACCTTCATTAGTTGAATCAGCTGTGTTTAATCAGGGTTGGAGAAAAACTGTGCAGAGCTGCGGCCCTCCAGGAATTGAGTTTGAGACCTATGATCTATAGAAAAAGAAAGAAAATACATTTAAATAAAAAACAAACAAACCATAAAATTTTAAGAAAATGTTTTTTTTCTTTCTTTTTCCCCCTCTTTTTTTTTAAATTTCCCCGTTCTAGTGGTGGAAGATTCACCACTGTATGTGTATATGTAAATATTCTAATATAATATATTAGTTCTAATCTATATTCTAATATATATGCTTGAATAAATTTTTTTTTTAAATTTGCTGATGAATTTGTGACCAGATGTTTGAATGGTAGTTATGCCATCTAGACCAGTCACTACAACCAACAACGACATAAAAAAATTGCATGTCAATACTTAATTAGCTTATCCATTTAAGAGGACCAATCACATCTCAGGTATTAACAAACAGTCCCTCACTGGTAATTAATGTGTATGTATAAGGTGTTGGATTACAGGGCTCGCTGTCAAGCTCTGGAGCAGCAGGCTGTCGGTGAAGAACGAGAACTGAGGATCCGAGAGGTGAGACAAAACTACAAGCCTCATTATTTACATGGAGAGCTGTGAGCGCCACATTAACAGCATTCATTTTACAGAGGATACTGCGAGATGAACGCAGCGACACACTGGAGAGCACCCTCATCAGGCTGGAGGAAGAACAGCAGAGGTGTGTAATATGGATGTTATGACTTCAGTGCAGTTTTGGGTGTAGTCGTTTACTAAGTAACTGCAGTAGTCACTGTAACTAAACTACTTTTCCATTGAAATAGTAAAGTAAGGGATTACTTTTCATTTCCTCTTATTTCATTTCGTTTGCTTAAAGGCACAATTATTGTGAATTATTTATTTTTTTTTCATTAAAATATCTTTAATCACTGATAAAATATTTGTCTCTCATCAGCAATTGCTTAAGCAGTCTTTTGCTTTAAAAGCTTTTAGCTTTAGGATTTATTCAGACCAAACCTTTTGCTTCTAAAAACATGAGACTTTTTCAGAAGCCAAAAGTCTTTAGTAGAAGGAATTGTTGTCTTTAAAAAAGCGCAGCGCAGAGTGCGAGGGTATTCAGATACAGCCACTGCGTGCCTGTAAACAGAAACTTGCAATGGTTGCCCCGCCTCTAAGCGCTTCTTATTGGTCTGCTGCTGTGGGACTGACAGTGATGAGCTGCATGTGAAAGTTTAAGTTTAGCTTCAAAAGAGGTGATTATAATGGTCACACAAATCTATTAAGTGCATGTTTACATGGAAAATGTGCTGGATGCCTTCATTTAATATTCTAATTAATTCAAAAAACAGGATTCTCTCTTCACTAGATTTCTTAGCTATTGTTTCGTTTAAGACCATCTTTTGTAATGTTTTTCAAGGAATAATTAGACTCATACTTTACCACAAGGTATCTTGATGGGTTCTGCAAATGAAGCCAAAGTCCACTCCAGGAAGAAAATGAATAAGAATACACTTTTATTAATAAAATAAATCCAGTGAAAAAAAAGAATAAAACAAATGCAAGAACGAAACAAAAAATCCTTTACTTTATTCTCTGCTGAGAATAAAGGGCTTAAGACTTACAGTATACAGAAGTCCCCGGTGGGCCAGTTCGTTTTTTGGCCGTGAGGGCAGGTGTCCCTAGCTGCTTGCACTCTCAGCAGTCGCACTTTTTTCATATATTTATTTTATTTATTTAGCCTTACTCTTTTTATTTATTATTTTGCCGCAGCTCTGTTCTTTTTATTTATTTTCTCGCAGCCCCATGAGCAAAATGCAGCCTGCAGGTTAATGATGACAGCAGCACCTTAGTGAATATAAGAATTCGAATAATTAAAATTAATGAATATTACACCTACTTAAAGAAAATCAGATTCACTACATTAATAAATCTGACATAACTTGATCAGAAATCTAAAAAGGGGAGAAAAAGTTTAAGCCAAAGAGCCAAAGTCTTGCAAGTAACAGTACAATGCTTATTTTTTATTCCAGACGCGCCAACATAACAGCACAATTGTGGTCCAGTGGTCAGCACATTGCGTTAAGACACGATTCGAACATCACCTAAATAATAATCTTTTTTTTTTTAAGACATATAGTATTTTAAAGACATATAATACTGTTTGGGATTCTTATGTAGGTGTACATATTTTATTTTTATTTTTTGTGTGACCACCGTTACAAAGGACTGGATATTTATAAAGAATTTTGCATAGAATATACATTCAGATATTGCAGGACATTGTGATGTTTTAAAGAATAGTGTTGGAGATTTAGCTACCCTTTAATGTTCTCATATTTATGAAAAACATTTGTTCTGAAGTTGTAAAGCAGCTGTTTCCTTGAAATAGACGTGATAGTGTCATTAGAAACTGAATTAGAAATGATGTTATTTTAATATATTCAGTTGTGAACTGAGGTGGGCCGGTCTAAGGCTGAAAAGGAGTCCCACTCCGGCCCTGTTAAGCGTGTTTCTGGTTTGTTGGTGCCATCCTTTTATACAGTATTCAGGCCTTTGAATACAGGTGTGGCTTTAATGTTATAACTTGCATAAGTTACTGCTGATATACTTGGGTATGTCTGTATCAAGATAGCTTGCAGTATATCTCTAAATATATGAATCAACATTTAGGCAGTTCATCAGGGTTGTCCTCCAAAGTGACATTTTTAGCTGGCAAAGGATATCTACTTTTGGAGATAACGTTCCCATGCCTCTTCCAGGTTGCGATTGTAGAACAATTGGTTAGAACTTTCATCTGGACCATATCCTCTTTTAGTACCAGCAGATGACTGACTCACTTCAGTACGCCATCTTTGACCTCTTTAAACTGTCTGTCAGAGATGCCTCTCTCGTCTCTTATGCATCTTCTCATTGCTAATAGCTGTTTATGTAAGCATAGGAGCATCCAAATATTTTGGTGAATATATATATATATATATACAATTTACAAATAATGTCATTAAATCAACCAGACGCTACAAAAAAACTATAGTAAAGTAGCATAATCATAAGGAAAAGCATGTTCTCTGTGAGCTGCCACTTACTCTGTTTCATACAACCATGATTTTAAGATTTTCCATAAACATGATTTCAGTCCCTTAGGATGTAATGAAGACGACAACTCCTATGATTACAAACTCAGTTATGCCACCTTTCTTTGTTGTGAATACATGCCCTATAATGGCAAAACATATATATATATATATATATATATATATATATATATACTGTGTCTTTAACAGTTTTGTATAAATATATTCTGAGAAGTAGAGTATTTAGATATTTGGTTATACAAAATATTTTTTTGCATAACTTGGTTTTTCAACTAAAACTGATTAGATTTGTCTTACTATTGCATGTGCTCAAGAAACAATGAATTGGCTAAGAAATGAATGTCAATATATGGTATGCCTGAAATATGGTATCATATTTGAAATGCTTCTCTTTTCTTTGATGCATACCTTATGTAATTTCTTAAGTGCTACATTTTTACCAAAAGTAAAATGCCTTTTTTTTACTTGCATTGAATCTATATTGGTTATACATTGAAATTTTAAGGATATTGAGCAGTATTTAGAGTCAATTATTTAAATTACTTAATGAGTAAATACATTTTAATTATATAGTAATCAGAAAAGTTATTTAAAATGATTTAAGTATTAATGATTTTTTAGGTGACTTTTCCAGCACTGCTTAGCAATTGCAATGCCATGATTGTGTTGTTTGTTGACTGGAGCAGGAGTTTGGGGCTGTCGGAGGTCAGCGCTCTTCTGCGGAGTCAGCTGAGTCAATCAACTGAAGCTAATGAAGCCCTGAGGGACGACCTGCGAAAGCTGACAGCTGATTGGTCCAAAGCTGTGGAGGAGGTGGTGCAGAAGGAAATCGATTGGCAGAAAGAGAAAGAGGTAAGGATGGGATTGACATTTATTTGTTGTTTGGTTGTTTTGAGCTCGATTCCTATGTATCAAAGGCTACACATGTACTCATTTATACATTCACTGGCCACTTTATTAAGTACACCTGACTAGTCGTGGGTTGGACCCCCTTTTGCCTTCAGAACTGCCTTAATACTTCATGGCATAAATTTAATAAGGTTCTAGAAATATTCCTCAGAGATTTTGGTCCATATTGCCATGATTCTTCATGCAGTAGCTCCAGATTTGTCAGCTGCACATCCATGATGTGAATCTCCTGTTCCACCATGTCCCAAAGGTGTTCTATTAGATTGAGATCTGGTGACTGTGGAGGCCATTTGAGTACAGTGAACTCAATGTTATGTTCAAGAAACCTGTCTGAGATGATTCGCGCTTTTGGCATGGCGCATTATCCTGCTGAAAGTAGCCATCAGATGATGAGTAAACTGTGGTCATAAAGAGATGGTCAGCAACAATACTCAGGTAGGCTTTGGCCTTGATATAATGCTCAGGATGGGTCCATGCTTTTATGTTGTTGACGCCGAATTCTGACCCTACTATCCGAATGTCGAAGCAGAAATTGAGACTCATCAAACCAGACAATGTTTTTCCAATCTTCTGTTGTTTAATTTTGGTGAGTGTGTACAAACTGTAGCCTCAGTTTCCTGGTCTTAGCTGACAGGAGTGGCACCTGTTGTGGTCTTCTGCTGCTGTAGCCCATCTGCCTCAAGGTTTGACGTGTTGTGCGTTCAGTGTTGCCTTTGTCAGCTGGAAACAGTCTGGCTATTCTCCTCTGACCTTTGGCATCAACTAGGCGTTTGAGCCCGCAGACTTTAACTGTAAACCCTAAAGATTGTATTGCGTGGAAATCCCAGTAGATCAGCAGTTTCTGAAATACTCAGACCAGCCCGTCACTTAAATCACCTTTTTTTCCCCATTCGGATGCTCTGTTTGAACTGCAGCAGATCGTCTTGATCATGTCAACATGCCTAAATACATTAAGTTGCTGCCATGTGATTGTGTGTGTGTGTGTGTACATCAGGGCCCGAAATTAACCTGTTTGCTTGGTAGCACCGGTGCTTCTAACTTTAAAAATTTAGGCGCATCAGCCAAAATTTAGTCGCACCCACCAATTATAAGCACCGTTACTACAAGTTTTATACAAACATATTTATTGTATTTGAAATCAACACTAATCAAACTAACAAGCAAAAAAAATTAATACAAGTATGCAAGCGTGAGAAAAATATGTCTCAACGAAATCCCGTTATCACAAGAAAATACATTTTTATAACATAACTGAGTGACCACGGAGTGCTCACCGGCCCTGCACGCACTGCTTGAATGAATCTGTTAACGATATGACTGCATGACTGTGCTGTTCTCACAAGTGCTGTCTGATATTGCACTGATGCTTTTGACACATACTGTGCCTTATTATATGCATACATGTTAATAGCAATACCGTAATATATATATATATATATATATATATATATATATATATATATATATATATATATATATATATATATATATATATATATATAAACAAATACAGAAACATTGAAAATACAAAGCTTTATACTGCTTATCGAAATTCAACCAAAAATACTAATATGATTTTTACCCATATTACAGTCGATATTCAGTCGATATTTTGGCATTACAGGTACCATAGAAACAGATTATTTTAGGTTCCAGGCATGTAAAAGCAGCAGAATCGCACTGAAATGGCATAATTACTATAATTCCAATGTGCCGCTTTAAATGCGGTTGTCAAATTTGCAGTGCATGTATGACCTTACAAGCAGGTTCACGAGCATTCGGTAGTTGCTTAGTGATGGCTACATTTTTCTCAGTTGATTTGTATCAGAGCATTAGGGAACGTGTGGTATTATATTGTCACCAGGCAACTGTGCCGTACAACACAAAGTTCAGTGTGAGGATCTTCCATTAGTGGATAGGTGTAAAAATACATTTCTGTGTGTTTCACACGGTTAATAAATATATTTATTTTGTTTCCTTCCCTCAAATAATTGGAGATTTTGTTTTTGGACTTTTAAAATAAAGTTTGCGTTCAGTCATTTTTCACAAACATGTTTAGCAATGCATCTCATTTGACTAACAATGCTGTTCTTATGCGTCGTTAGGTGTTATTCAAAGGTTTGGTGAAGGCTTGGATACATTCAGCATTTTCTCACACATCTGTAGGTGTAAAAATTTATGAGTGGCACTGAATTTTCCTGCTCAGGTTTTGTAAATATAGCTGCTAGATGTTGCTTTCACTGACAGGCTTCCACTGACAGACGCAGATGGATGATTGTTTTTGTATGTGTCAGTCTATGTCACATGTTTCTCATGTGTCTGTAGCCTTCAAAGCAGAAGCACTTACTGGTTTATATAATATTGTAGCAGTGCTTTATTTCTGAAATTATTAATTTTATTTTGAATACAGGTTTTGACAGGCTACATAGGGAAGGAGCACAGCAGGTTGATGACGTTGTGGGGACGCGTGGTCACGCTCAGACGCCAGTGTCACTCTCTGAAGACTGCTACTGACAAGTGAGGACAGATAATCTGATTTATTCTCACAGAAACTAATATGTGGATGTTTTTGCATTAGGTTAGCTAAAATTGACTACTCTTAGATTTTAATTGCTCTTGTTATGCTTGGTTGAAAGGATACTTCACCCGACACAAAAAAGTTAAAAGCAGTCACTGATATCCATATAAGGAATTTAAGATATAGTGGAAGTCAATGGCTGTTATTTCCAATATTCTCCAGTATATACTCCTTTGTGTTTAATGGAACAAAGGAATTCTGACAGGTTTGGAACAATTGGAGAATGAGTAAATGATCAGAGTTTGTTTTATTTTTGTGTGAACTATCTTTTTAATGATTTCAAATTTTGTTTTGGATGTCTTGCACAACATGTTTCCATAAATCCAAGGTCAAAAATGCTGTTTTCTTAAGATATAGGTTTATACAGAGTGCAGCATCTTCTCTCACATTGTTTATTCAAGGATACAGGCTTTCTTAAGCTCCTCCTTTGCAAAATTGTCCTTTGTTTTGATTGATCAGATGGATCAAACTTTTGTTTATGGTCTACCACTTAAAGTGTGCATCAGGCACCAAAGGTCTGCTAAGCCTCTTTTTACTAGTATATTAGAATACGGTGTTCGAAAGCGCTAGATGAAAACATCAAGATGGATATAAAATGAACTACCACACGATGGATAAATTCTAGGTACAGCCGTATTGTAATGGATGAAAAGAGCTGCAGTGTTTTCCCTACTTACAGAAACCTTTTTGCATTGATAGAACACACTGGTTCCCATTAAATTATATTTATTTTTCTTCCTAAATTAGAGCTGCACGATTCTGGCTAAAATGAGAATCATGATTTTTTTTTAACCTAAAGTAAAGATCACGATTCTCTCACGATTCTGTAGATGTAAAATAAAGCTTAATATGATATTATTGTTTTTTCTCAAACATATGGTAAACAACAATATTAATATTATGTGTAGGTCTACTGGTTTCTATAAATAGTTCTGTTCTACTTATATTAATTCTGATGTTAAATTATGTTTGAGATATAGGCCTATGCTTGCAATCTGTCATTGAGAACATTATTAGACCATTTAATTCACTGGTAAAATCAACATTATATAGGCTAGAGTAGTTATACTGACACTGTAAACATTTATTTTCATGCACAACTGTGTGTTCGCTATGAAAGAAAAACATGTCAAATGCTTGTCACATTCTTAACTCTAAAATGTGATATGATTATTTAAATGATGTGCTCGCTTTCGGTTTCATTTTCACTGTAAAGTACTGTTCATTCTTCGCGCACGGCTATCAAACGATCACTCTGTGCCACAAACTGAATATTATTTACAGCTTTATTACCTGTTACTCACAGCATATGCAGGTTCTGTTCACTAAAGTAGATGCACACGCGTCTGTAGGGGGCTTGCCTGCAGTCGGCAGCTCACGTCACGTGTGATTTCCCGGCCGCGAATACCGCATTATATGAAGACAAATGACATTTTTAGGTGAATTATACCTTATAAATACAGTATTTGACTCTTTTAACATCATTTGGAGGTGTCCATGTCGCTGAGCAACGTGTGTGAAACAATGAAAAGACTTGTGCAGCCGCCTTTACTTCTTTCCTGAACTTGAAAATATGATTGGCAGGATTAAGATTGTCAAGAGGATCGAATCGAGATCGCGATCTTTTTTCGATTAATTGTGCAGCTCTATCCTGAACATATGGAATGGGAAACAGATTTCTAAAACATGGGACACTGAAGATTTAGGGCGTACTCACACTATGTAAAGTTGACGTGAACCAGGCCAAAGCAAGCTTGTCCCCGCTCTCGTCTCCCCCATACGGCCCGCACTCACATTACATTCGGGCCTGGGCGCGCTTACGTCATTGAGTGCTTTCGCTCAGCACAGTGGAGATTTCTTTAGTTACATCATTTTGGTCGTTTGAGATGCAGTGACACGCAGTCAAATATTTCGCCGAACAAAACAGCCACTTTTGACTTTCATAAGCAACCATAAAGTTCTCGTGCTGCAGGAATTAGGAGGTTTGCTGAAGGTGCAGCTGTCGTGCAGTGAGGGGTTTGCGTCTTTAATAAACTACGACAGTGTGTGTTCATTAAACAGTAAGAATGATTAATAAATCCATATAAAACAGTCCCTTAAATGTCACGTCTCGTCTTTAGTTTTGGGCTGTGGCGTGCTTTGCACTCACAGTACAAGCGTACCACATCAAAGCCCAAGTGAACTGTGCTCTGGCACACCTCTTTCAACCGGGCCAGGGCTGGCCAAGTGAATTGTGCCTGAGCCCGATTCAGAGCACTCACACTTCTCAAACGATCTGGGAAACGGGCCTGAGCACGGTTCGGATAGCATAGTGTGAGTAGGCCCTTAAGAATGATACTGACAAATCAGCTTTCCATCTCAGGAAAAATTAACAAATTAAATTTAATAAAGATAAAACACCTAAATATAAAAAATATTTAAAGTTAAAGGCACAATCTGTCAGATTTTATCATTCAAATATCTGTGTTATATACAGTAGTCGACATTTGTAGTGGATCATCTCCTTTCATCAAAGTTGTCCTAAGATTATTTAACAACAGCCTTTTTTAGTCAGAGGACAGTTTTGAAAAACTATTTTTTTATAAATGTTGACAAGGCGACACTGAGGTTCAAACCCCGGGTGGGTCAGTTGGCATTTCTGTGTGTAGTTTGCATGTTTTCCTCGTGTTCACATGGGTTTCCTCCAGGTCCTCTGGTTTCCCCCACAGTCTAAAGACATGTGCTATAGGTGACTTAAATAAACTAAATTGGCTGTAGTGTATGTGTGTATAGGCGTTTCCCAGTGCTAGGTTGCGGTTGGAAGGGCATCCCCTGTGTAAAACATATGCTGGATAAGTTCATTTTGCTGTCGCAACCCCTGATTGATAAAGGGACTAAGCTAAAGGAAAATTAAAGAATAAATGTTGCTGTAATTATATACTGACTTGTGTAATTATGTTACGCCCCGTGTGGCTCGGATGATTAAAAGGGCTAAACATAATTATGACAACCCAATGTTTTTAAAATTCCCCAAAGACATTAGCTGCCATAGATCACCACAGACAATGGTCGTGGCAAAAAGTGGTTCGCTTTAAAAAATACTATTTAACTACTCAAAGTATATTTACAAATGTTTATAATAAATGCAAAATAAGCAAACAAATCAATTTAAACAAAACTGATAGAGGGAAGGAAAATAAGTGGTGCCAAATCAAACACCCGCTAACCAAACCCTCCCCACCCCTAAAAAACTAAAGAGAATTCTGAAGATAGAAAAAAAACATCTTCAGCTTCACACGCCCCTTACTAGACTGCACTTGCTAGCAAAAACTTACAGCAAAAAGTGTAGCATCCGGTTCTGACCTAATGGATTAACAGAGAATCATCTATCCGCTTGTTAAGTGTGACGTCATGCAAATCGGCTTCCGGGTCCAAGCGCTTTGTTCAACTGTTTGAGGAGACTCATGAAATGGTAATTATAAACGTTTACAAAGTGATTTAATACTTTCGAAAATCACGATCGCAATATATATGTCCCTGCCTAATATCCGATGGCCAGAAAGTGATTCATTTTTTTATAAATTGTTAAAATTTTGGTATTTGTGATGCAGCAAGCCCAGAGATTGTTGTGTACACTATCACTTTATATAAAATTAACTTTAATGTGTGATATGAATTAAAAGTGATCATAAACAAATAACTCAAATGAGTGGCGGCTTGGACCCGGAAACAGTATTACATACGTCACCAACACGTCATCACTTAACAAGCGGATGTGTGTGTAAAATTCATGTGACATACTCCACTTTCACTTCCCTTAGATTTAAGCAGATTTAGCTTGGATATTCTGAGGTACAAAAAAAAAATTAACAGAACAGGCACAAAAAGTCACAAGGAAAGACAGAGCAGTGACAAGAGACAAGGATACCCCCTCAGTGTGGCATCCTCTTCTGATCGGTCCAGTCGTGAAAACGCAAGCCAATCGAAACATAGATTTTAGAAAAACAGCAGACAGCAAATAAAAATGGAAAGGGGAGGAGAGAACATCAGAGCAACAACCCGAGGCATTTAACAAATTATATCACAGCAAATGTTTTGAAGAATGTTCAAATCCAGACAAATAAGCAATTTTAACTAGTGACACAGATCATGTCCTGTGTCGCCATGCTAAAAACATCATACACCCTCAATTTCCAGTTTGATTTTATAGAAAATTTTATAGAAAATGCTTTTTTTCTTGTTATATAAAATTATTTTATATAAATTGTCTTCTACTACTGCCTTTGTTTGTTGTGAATACAAGCCCTCTAGTAGCGAAAAATAATAGTCAGTCTTTATACACTGTCTTTTAAAATAATATTTCACATTGCTGATATTCTTGTATTTTTGTTCATATAAATGCTGGCTGTCCTGTTTTTATTGACTACAGAAGCCTTTTTTTTATTATATTAACTCCCTTAAAGACATTTTTAGCAAAGTATCACCAGGAAAATTGTTTAAAAAAATGTATTATCGCCAAAAAATCTTATTGAATTAAATTTTAAGCTTTCAGTTGTTTGTTATTTTTAATTGTATATTTATTAATGTTCTTGCCATGCATTAATGTTAAAATGTTCTTGCCATGAAAATAGCCTTGTTTGCTGACTTGACATGGGAAGATAACTGGCTTCAAGGTTTACCGCGGTTTGGAAAAGTCAAGGTTTTAAAACGGCAAAGATTTTCTGTTAAAGCGTTCCTAAGGTATATGTAAAAAAAATTCATGCTTATTTTATTTATTTTTTAAGGCAACAGTACCTCCTGCAGAAAAGAAACCTCCACATCAAAAGCTACTGCTCCAAAATATTTAAAATGTTTCTTAATATAAAATAATATATTAATATATTGTGTTTAATGGTGAAAAAGTTCTTGTTTTTTACCAAGACATTTAAAAATAACCTATTTTGGAGCATTAATCACAATACCGTGATACTGTGATATTTTTATACAAGGTTATCTTACAGTCAGAATCTTAGTCCGAATCCATCATCATCATCATCAATGCAGTCTTTTTCAGCATAATAAACCTTCAAAAACGATTTATACATGTTCTTTTTTTTATGTGAAGCTGCTTTGACACAATCTACATTGTAAAAAAAGCACTACATAAAAAAATAAAGGTGAATTGAATGTTCAGTAGTAGTGCATTCAATCTCTAGTCTACACCATCAATTAAATGTGCATGTGTTGTGTTTTTGTGTGGCAGGGACTTGTGGGAGCTGAAAGCAGACTTCTCTCGTCTCTCTTCATCTCTCCTCTCTGTATGGGCTTCTCCTCTATCGGCTCCCAAGCTGACCCATAACTCCTCCTTATCCCAGTCCACTTCAGCACAACCCCTCTCCACCACCCAGGGCCCGCTGTCTCTTGATGATCTGAACCATGAACAGACAGACGAGAGGAAGTCCAGTGAATTAAAAGCAGACATCGAGTCTGAAACCCTGGAGCTCAGAAACAGGTCACTTCAGGATTCATACATGATATTACATGATATTGGACTGTGCGTCTGCATTCAAAATAATAAACAATTTAAAAGTGTAGATAAATACAATAAAGAAAAAAGTTACAATTGAAATAAACAGTGTTTTATAATTTGCCGAGTTTATTTAGGCATAGTAATTGAATTATAAAATAATTCAATATATTTGAATCATTATTAACATTACTAATGGTACAATTTATTTAGCTTGAATGCATTTAAATTCCACAAATATTCACAATACTCAAAATCACATGCAAATTATGATTAACCATAATATAAACTCAGCATTGCATGTCCTGCAGTTTGGCTATTGATCACTGATCTCATTGCATTATTGGTGCTGAAACAATATATTGTGCAGCCCTCATTCATACTTTAAGTCCATACTGCAATATTTTGAGTATTTACAGAATGTTTTGTGGATATCTGTATTACCAATATAGTTTTAACATCATTCAATACCGAGATCTTATTACGTTTAACATGTGAATTTTTGTATTGATGTACTGGGATTATAATTTCATAGGATCACAGAGCTGAATATGACCGTAAAAGCTCTCGAATCTGAACGGGAGAAGCAGGAGGAAGAGATGGAGAGGAGGCACAGGCATGAGATGGAGAGAGAACAAGAGCAAGAGAGGAAGTGGGAGAGACAGATGGAACTAGAGAGAAACTTTGAGTCTGTCTGTCAGGCTGTCAAGACCCTGGTGAGTCAACGTAAAAAAATAGAGCTGGTAGTCGACTGATCAAACTAATTTATTCCCCATTTCTGAGAATCTGGAGCTGAATCCAAAGATTGGATTTGATTACAAGAGGAATCGATGACTCTGAGAACCTTTTTCAGTTTAAAGGTGCTATAAAATGCATTGATACATTGTTTAAATTGTTCTCTGATAAATCTCCAGAAACAAGCCCACTTCGATCCCTAGAAGCTAACTTTAACTTTCATTTCATCTTTAACGCTTTGATGCACTACATGGGTCTAAAGTGAACTGTCTTAAGTTTATTTTTTCTATATCTATTTTATAGCTAGTGCATCAAAGGGTTAAAACACATCATTTAATGGTAAGTTTTTAATATACTTTAAACCAGGGGTCACCAACTCTGTTCATGGAGAGCTCCTATCCTGCAGAATTCAGTTCCAACCCTAATCAAACACACCTGAACTAATTAATAGGACCTGAAGCAGCACTTGATAATTAAAGACAGGTGTGTTTGCTCAGGGTTGCAACTGAAATCTGCAGAAAGTTATGCTGAGTTCAGACTGCACGATTTTCAAAGTAGTCGCGTCACAGGGGGTTCACACTGCATGACTTATACAATGACTCATGACTTATACAGGAGGAAGAATCACCAACAACTTTGTCTTTGTCCGCAAACATCTTACAAACCAAACACATGGAAAAGTGACTTAACGCAAGGTCACGCAGTATATCTTTGTACATAGTATATCATTATAACTAGGGCTGCTTGATTTTGGGAAAAATCATAATCACGATTATTTTGGTCATAATTGTAATCACGATTATTCCAAACGATTATTAGTTGTAGTCAAAATTATTAGCACTCCTGAGAATTATTATTTTTTTAAATAAATATTTCCCTAATTATGTTTAACAGAGCAAGGAATTTTAACAGTATTTCCTCTAATATTTCTTCTTTTGGAGAAAGGCTTATTTGTTTTGTTTTGGCTAGAATAAAAGCAGATTTAAATGTTTTGAAACCTCTTTTAAGGTCAATATTATTAGCCCCTTTAGGCAATATATATTTTTGATTGTCTGCAGAAGAAACTACTGTTATACAATGAACTGCTTAATTACCCTAATTAAGCCTTTAAATCACACTTTGAATTTGAATGCTTGTATTTAAAAAATATCTAGTCTAATATTATGTGCGGTCATCATAGCAAAGATAAAATAAATCAGTTATTAGAAATCAGTTATTAAAACTATTATGTTTAGAAATGTATTAAAAATATATATATTTCCATTAAACAGAAATTGGGGGAAAAAGGCTGCTAATATTCAGGAGAGCTAATAATTCTGACCTCAACTGCATATATACAGTTATTTTCCACCCTGCAAAGGAAAGAGAAATAAATACAATAGACTAAAAATATGAAACAAACTGTGTTTTAAGAATCTTCACTGTAAGAAAAACACTTTAGCTACAAAAGTCTTCAGTCAAGAGCACTGAGATTTTCTCATTGTTTTATTAATAATGATAAAAAAGGTGGCAGTAAGAATTGCGCGCTGTTACTTTAATGGTTTCGCTTTCACGTGTCTTTTGATCCTTATTACAAAATGAGGGCTAATAGGAATAATCACTAAACACCTCGTTTTGACACCTATTTGACCTTTAAGCGCTAGCGTTAAGATGACTTTGGATGTCTGCGCTCTGCTCGTCACAGTATGCGAATGAGACCAAATGCAAATGCAGTCTTTCGCGCTTTTAAGAGCAACAAGTGAGGAGAACTGGAAAGGGGACGGTAAATAATAGAATAATCATTTATCTCGATTAAGGATTTTTCGTAATCATTAGAAGCCAAAATCGAAATCGGATTTTCGAATTAATTGCACAGCCCTAATTATAACTATATAATGAGAAAGAAGCCTTTAGTGGGGTAGAAAATGTACTTATTTTGCTCATCTGGGTTTTAAAGGAAATTAGCAATTTCTCCTTCAACTTTTTTCTTTTTCGACCCGGTTGTGATACCTATTGCAGACAGACACAGGTGCTCCTGACAAATTTTCACTAGTTTTTCCCTCCATTTCTTTGGTCCAGATAGACTGAAAAGAAGCCCTTTTAACTTCTCCCCCTACCTTCCGCTGGCCTGCAGACACCCATAATAGTGGATGCTGCTCTCTCATTGGCTGTAGGTGATCGCCAATGTTATTTTCAGTCAGAACACATTTCACATGGTATGATTTAAATCGCCGACAGGTCTAGATATTTAGCATGCCAAATATCTCATGGGTGCCTGCAACTTCTCTGTGATTTTCTTAGATCGCGTCTTTAATACTTTACACTGTTATTTTATTGGCATTTATCGGTGATTTCTCAAAACCTGTCAGCTATTCAAAATCAGGGCTAAAATCATGCAGTCTGAGCTCGGCCTTAGGTCTCCAGGAACAAAGTTGGTGACCTCTGGTCTGAACAGTCAAAAACAATTTACTTTGTTTGCAGAATATTATTGTATATAATCAGGGAAATTATTCCTTTGTAAAAACCTTAAGGACATAGAATAAACTATCAAGTGCGTTGTATGTTTGAGTCTTGCTGAAGTTAGATTTTTTGTTGTTGTTGTGAAAAACAACCTCTAAATATGCATTTTACTTGACATCTTCTGGCACAAATTGTCTGGTGTATTTTGGATGTTTTCTTTTCATTGCACAAAAATGTTTATATTTATTATCCAAAAACTAAAATCTCAAAATTGACAGAGGCAATGAAAAGCAATGTTTTTGCCTGCTGTGTCTCAATTTAAAAGAATACATTAATAATCAAACTGCTTTGCTAACAATGGTCAGAAGTCTATTAACAGGTCCTGTAGGACAGTTTACTTTAATAAATTTTCTTTGTCTGATTTTAAATCTAAGCTAAACATATCCAATAACATATATTTGCAAAGCTTGTAGCACATGATGTTTAATATTTTTCTGGATTTTGACCAGTAAAACCTTTTTTTTATTATTATTCTTTCCATTTTTTACTTGTTTTTTTGTCTTTGACTTACTCTTGTTGCTTGTGGCTTTTAGTTGTTTTAGTTGTTAAGCACATTAGTCAACAAAATGTTTTTTTTATTATGCTATATAAATAAACTGTTATTGTCAGTGACCTGGTTCTTATATCCTATATATCCGACCATCAAATTATGTGCTTGAATGAGCTTTTTTTTTTTAAATGCTCATTTAACACTGTCAAGTTTTGAAAAGAATAAATGACAACAATAACAGTAAGGAAATAATTCCAGAACCAGGAATTAGAATTTAAAAAGCCTTAATCGAAATAAATCAAGAATTAGTTAATTGATGTTAACTTTTTTTTTCTCAGTCTCGTGCTCTCCTTTCTCAGAAGATGAGTGGAGAGTCCAGCTCTCTCTCTGCTGATGATGCGTCTAGTGATGGACTGTGCTCTGTCCTCTCGGTCATCGCTCAAGCTGAGACAGCCCTGCAATGGAGGGAACAGGAAGTACAGGTTGATCAATATGACATCAAAATTCACCGTTTTTTAACTAGTCTTTTTATGAATAATCAGTAATGATTAAATCACACTGAACTGAGCTAAACTGAACTGAACTTAAACATTAAAAACTGAACTACACTGTTCCAGTTACTGAACCACACTGTTCCAGTTACTATGACCATTTATGTGAAGCTGCTTTGACACAATCTACATTGTAAAAGCGCTATACAAATAAAGCTGAATTGAATGAATGATTATTCATTGTATGATTTTTAAACCAGTAAACCAGTAACAGGGGCTTTTTAATCTTTCCTCCCAATTTGAATGGCTTGTTCTCTAAACTGATGTTCTTCTGGGCTAATGTCTGCAAGCTCTCTTAATAAGCCCGATCTTTTTGTCAGGAGGCTCAGATGAGCTTGCGCAGGCTTGGGACAGAGAAAGAATCACTGGAGCAGAGAATCACACAGTTGGAGAGTGAGTGGGTGGAGCTTCAGGAACAGACCAATCAGGGCGCACTACAGATTAAACACACACAGGAACTGTTGAACAGGTGATGAATGCTTCATTATTTCAACATCATAACTCATCCCAATGTGACCTTTTATTTTTCCCAAATGCAGCCTTTGAAAAGTAGAGGTAATAAAGCATATTTCTAGGATATTAACAAAATATTCAAATCATATTAGTCAGCTGATCTAACTCTTGCTTTCATTTCATCTTTAAAACCACTTATTTAACAATAATGTTAGATACAACATCTAAAATAAGGTCAATTGTGATCATTTTATTGTTTCAATACCTATTATAGATGTAGTGTTGTAGATTAAAATAAATAAAGTTTGATACATTTAGGTAAATGAGTGATTTAGTAAAAGTATGCCTTTTTCAGCAAGAAAACTTAAATTGATCAAAATTGACTATAAATTCATTCTTGACGTTACAAAAATGTCTTTTTCAAATAAATGCTCTATTTTTAACATTATTTTCATAAACAGAAAAGTTATTATTCTAATGATATTAAGTTATTTTCCTTAAAATGTTTACTTTTCACAAACATATTAAGCAGCACAGATGTTTTCAATGATATTTGATAAAAGATAAACAGATAAAAAGAGTAACGTTGTGAAAATTCTAACATTTTAAACTAATAATAAATTAGTTTGTCACAAGTAGGCATGAGACAATAACCGTGGTTTGGAAAAGTCAAGGTTTTAAAACTGTTAAAAGTTTCTGTTATACCGTTCCTAAGGTGTGTGTAAGATTATTTATTTACTTTTTTGTTTGTTTTTTATGACAACGGTATCTCAAGCAGAAAAGAGATCCAAAGATGTCGTTTTAAATTGTTAAGAAATCTGTGTTTTTAAAATTAATGAAGACAGCAGAAGTCAATGACTCATTTTCATTATTTAGCCTGACATGTTCACTGCTCCAAAATATTATAAATCTTTCAAAAAATAAAATATATTGTTTTCAAAGGGGAAAAATGTGTTGTTTTTTTATCCAGACATTTAAATAGAATATATTTTAGAGCAGTGAGCACAAAATCGTGAAACCATGATATTTTTATCCAAGGTTATCATACAGTCAGAATCTTATACCGGCCCATGCCTAGTCACAGATCAGAAGTTAATCTGTTAAAAAAAAAAAACACTATCATTTAAACAGAGTGTCCGCAGGGTCTTAAAAATTCATAGAATTTTAGGCTTTCAAAGGTCTTAAATTAACAGATATTTTGTGTTGTAGGACCTAAATCATTTTAAACAGGTCTTAATTTTTGTCTGTACGTGTAACGTTACCCAGTCAGGCTGACAAATCACCAATAATTTATCTTAATAAAACTTTTAACAAAAGTTACCAGTATGGTGAAATTAGCTTATTAAAGTTTTATATGTATTTTAGACAAGACTGTTGTGCATAACATAAATTTAGTTTAACTAGTATATATTTAAACTAGATTTAGCTAGTTTTAACAAATTTAAAAATATGTGGTTAAGAAATAACTAAATTTAAATAGTTTTGATGAGGCAAGTTAAAATCTTTTTCATTGGCCCAACCATACCATTAGGAAAAATCCTTAGGGCCATATCATACACCCGGTGCAATAAGGCACAAGACCAATATTTTCAGACCAACACAACCCTAACTTCCCTGTTTTGCGGCAGGTTGTTTAAGTAGCACATCCATTTGTGCCACTTTGTGGGCTAATGGGTGTGCCAGTCTAGAAAAGAGGTATGTTAAGGCGCATCGTTGGCACGTTGCAATTTTGAAAAACTAAAAGACTGTGCAATAGACCCACTGAAAGCTGCCATATAAATAGCAAATGCGCCATAGCGCGACACAACTGACTCCTGTAGGGAGTGGGAGATGAGACTGATTGATTTATTCTGAAAACACACTCATAACTATCATGTTTACAAGCCTTTTGCACTATGTACTGTTTTACATATTCTGTACTTTTTTGCATTTTATACTGTTTACATCTCCACAACTCTGGTTTGCATTCATTGCCATATGCCCTTAAGTGTAATCGAATTGTTTACAAATTCTTATTTTTTTCACATATATTTTAAATTACATTTTATGTATAATTTTATTTATCGTAATATCGTGATCGTAACTTTTTTGTATTAATAGTATATGTAGGCACCTGGAGTCTGAGAGTAACGAACTTTCGATTCTCTATCTGCTGTAAATGTGGTTGAATTGACAATTAAGCTGTCTTTGACTTTGACTTTAACTCGGTAAGAGAACAAGCACAACCTTGTTAATTTGTGTTTGTTGTGGCTCAAACCATATTTTTCAATCCTTAAAATAGCCAAAGTGGATTTAGACATGCCCTTAATGCTTTTGCGCCTTGCAGTTTTGACTTTGCAACTAGATTGTTAAAATAGAGCCCTTAGTGTTTAGCCCTGTACAAGTCTTCATAATGGGCTTTAAAATGTCTTTAAAAAGTCTTAAATTTGACTTGGTGAAACCTGCAGAAACCCTGTTTAAAGTTAAATTAAATGTAACTAACTAACTATATATGTATATACAGTGGGGAAATTTGTATTAATGTGCATAAAGAAGCCAAGGAAAGATGGAAAAATCTCCAACGGCATCAATCTACAGATTAGACATTCCTTTATGATGTCAAAAAAGTTAGATTTTATTTCCATCATTTACACTTTCAAAATAACAGAAAACAAAAAAAATGGCGCCTGCAAAAGTTTGGGCACCCTGCAGAGTTTTTAGCATGCCCCCTTTGGCAAACTGAGACAGTTCCATAATTTTTTCTCAATCATCGTCTGGAAGAGATAGTTGATGCTCAGAAAGCAGGAGAAGGCTATAAGAAGATTTATTTCCTTCATTTACACTTTCAAAATAATAGAAAACAAAAAATGGTGTCTGCAAAATTTTTTGCACCCTGCAGAGTTAATAACTTGTACTACCCCCTTTAGCTAGTATCACAGCTTGTAAACCCTTTTTGTAGCCAGCCAAGAGTCTTTTAACTCTTGTTTGAGATATCTTTGCCCATTCTACCTTAAAAAAGTCTTCCAGTTCTTTGAGATTTCTGGGCTGTCTGTCACGCACTGCTCTTTTAAGGTCTATCCATAGATTTTCATTTATGTTAAGGTCAGGAGATTGTGAAGGCCATGGCAAAACCTTCAGTTTACACCTATTAAGGTAATCCACAGTGGATTTTGAGGTGTGTTTAGGATCATTATGTATTTGTAGAAGCCATCCTCTCGTTAACTTCAGCTTTTTCACAGATGGCATCAAGTAACCATCCAAAATTTGCTGAATTTTTTAAAATCCATTTTTCCTTCTACTTGTGAAATGTTACCTGTGCCACTGGCTGCAATACAACCCCAAAGCATGACTGATCCACCCCCATGCTTAACAGTTAGACAGAGGTTCTTTTCAATAAATTCTGTGCCCTTTCTTCTCCAAACCTACCTTTGCTCATTCCGGCCAAAAAGTTATATTTTAACCTTATCGGTCCACAGAACTTGTTTCCAAAATGCATTAGGCTTGTCTATATATTCATTTGCAAAGTTTAATGCTGATTTTTGTGGTGAGGACATAGAAGAGGTTTTCTTCTGATGACTCTTCCATGAAGACCATATTTGTTCAAATATATCTTTATAGTGGAATAGTGGACCACAGTTCCAGTGTCTGCCAGATCTTTCTGGAGGGATTGTGCAGTCAAATGTGGGTTTTGACTTGCTTTTTTCGAGCTGTTCCATCTGATATTTCTCTTAGTCTTTCAGATCTTGCTTTAACTTCAGCTGTTCCTGATGACTGCCATTTCTTAACCACATTCCGAACAGAGGATACTGGGATCTGAAAACGCTTTGCTATCTTATTATAGCCTTCTCCTGCTTTGTGAGCGTCAACTATATTTAGTTTCAGTTTTCTACACAACTGCTTAGAAGAACCCATGGTGCTGATTGTTGGGGCAAGGTCAGATGAGTCTGGGCATTTAAAACCTTTGAGATTGACATCACCTGGTCTTTCCAGATGATGATTGAGAACAATCCATGGCACTACCTATGTTTTCATCCAAAAATGCAAATAAACTTTATGCGCAATACTGGATTATTGCATAAAAGTTGTGCAAATGAAGCATCGTTTCCATCTAACGAGTCAAAGCGAACAAAATCGTCACTTCCTGATTAACTGGCGCCAAATATCAACAGTAACAACTGCATTTGCAGCAGTAGGAGAAGATGCATCAATCTTTTCTAAATGAATGCGCCTCCGAAGACAATCAATCCTGACAAGCAGTGAGCGCGCAGTGGCGTTTAAAGGTGTCAGACATGGAGCACAGGCGCTCTTGATTTTGGAGGTCATTATTAATATAATAACATTAATACTGAAATGGTAAGCCGTTTTATAACCAATGACCAAAACAACATTTTAGATGTTTTATAATGTGCTCAGCCTAACGTTTTATCCATTCACACACATTTTTATCATCACATGATCTCTTTTAATAAAATCACATGATCTTTTTTTAATGCGCATGCTGGAGTTTGTGCGGTAAAAGTGTTTCCATCACAGTTTATGCGCATCTTTTCTTATTGAATAAAAAGTTTATCCTACCCAGTTAGGCGCATAAGTTTTTTATGCGCATTTTCAAAATTTATGGGGATCATGGCGTTTCCATCAACTGTTTTTTTTTATGCGCTTTTGCAGAATGGTAAAATAGGTGGATGGAAACATAGCTACTGTCAGGTCTCAGTTTGCCAAAAGGAGCATGATATAAACTCTGCAGGGTGCCCAAACTTTTGCAGACGCATTTTATTTTGTTTTCTGTTATTTTGAAAGTGTAAATGATGGAAATAAAATCTAACTTTTTTTGAAAAAATTAAAATCAAAAGAATGTCTTATCTGTAATTGGATGCCTTTTGGAGATTTTTTTCCATCTTTCCTTGGCTTCTTTATGCACATTAATAGAAATGTTTACCTGGGGTGCCGAAACTTTCGATCCCCACTGTGTATATATATATATAAACAAAAAGTGTTTTAGTGGTAATTGATATGTTGGTTGTCTTTGGCTAAGGAATTCATAAGAATACACAAATATTAAAAAAATTCTAAGTACCCAAAAAGTAGGTGAACAAGTTAAAAAGCTTTTATTGACATGGCTATAATAATATACAATAATACAATAACAGTAGTGATTTATAGTGCACATATACATATTTTTTTTACCTACTTTTTGACTGTTTTTTTTAGTATAAAATGTTGTTGGTGTTCATTACAGTTAGTTTGCCATATGTCCTTAAGTGTAATCGAATTGTTTACAAATTCTTATTTTTTTCACATATATTTTAAATTACATTTTATGTATAATTTTATTTATCGTAATATCGTGATCGTAACTTTTTTGTATTAATAGTATATGTAGGCACCTGGAGTCTGAGAGTAACGAACTTTCGATTCTCTATCTGCTGTAAATGTGGTTGAATTGACAATTAAGCTGTCTTTGACTTTGACTTTAACTCGGTAAGAGAACAAGCACAACCTTGTTAATTTGTGTTTGTTGTGGCTCAAACCATATTTTTCAATCCTTAAAATAGCCAAAGTGGATTTAGACATGCCCTTAATGCTTTTGCGCCTTGCAGTTTTGACTTTGCAACTAGATTGTTAAAATAGAGCCCTTAGTGTTTAGCCCTGTACAAGTCTTCATAATGAGCTTTAAAATGTCTTTAAAAAGTCTTAAATTTGACTTGGTGAAACCTGCAGAAACCCTGTTTAAAGTTAAATTAAATGTAACTAACTAACTATATATGTATATACAGTGGGGAAATTTGTATTAATGTGCATAAAGAAGCCAAGGAAAGATGGAAAAATCTCCAAAAGGCATCAATCTACAGATTAGACATTCCTTTATGATGTTAAAAAAGTTAGATTTTATTTCCATCATTTACACTTTCAAAATAACAGAAAACAAAGAAAATGGCGCCTGCAAAAGTTTGGGCACCCTGCAGAGTTTTTAGTGATTTATAGTGCACAAATACATATTTTTTTACCTACTTTTTGACAGTTTTTTTTAGTATAAAATGTTGTTGGTGTTCATTACAGTTAGTTACTAGTGTATTACATCGGTCATGATTGTAAAACTGACATGGCTGAATATGGAAGAGTAATCTGTAAAGTGTTTTGTGTGCCAGTGAGAAGGAGATAGTGAGCAGTTTGCGCGGTCAGGTGGAGGAGGCTGAGAAACTCACAGAGGAGCTGAGAAAGGAGAACGAACACATGAGACGACAGAGAGAGAAGCAGGAGGAGGACAGAATCCAGCAGGACAGAGAGAGACACAAGCGGTACACTTACCCATCAGTCACTGCTAGAGCCCTGCTTAGTCATGCTGGTCATGGTGAATAAGTGTGAAGTGTGTTTGTGAATCAGAATGGAGGCAGAGATGTTAGAGAGCGCTCAGCTGTGCGAGAGGGAGAGCCGCACTCGTCTGGAGCTGCACCGGCTGCAGGTGGCACTGGAGAGAGAGACGCTGGACAGAGCTCGAGCAGAGCAAGAGGCTGAGCAGGCTAAAGATGCTTTAATCAAGGTGAGCTGGGATTGTAAATTATGATAATTAATATTATTATTTGAAAACATTTTCTTTAAAAGAATGAATAATTGAGATGTCGGCTGATTTTAAGGTGTTCATCATTATAGAAGATTTAGGGTTCATACAGGTGCTGGACATGCTTGAAAATGCTTGGGGATGGTCAACAGTGTAATTATAAATGTAATTACAGAAGTTAATTACAGCTGTAATTACATGTCTGTATTTAATCAAGCATACGTGCAATGTAAAACATGTATTCACAAAAAAACTGCATTGAAAAAAATGATTAGTTTCAGTGTAAGTACATATTGGTTAAAGCCACTTAATATAAAGTAGGACAAAAAAGTTTTTAGATTTTGTTTTTGAAACTGCTTCAAAATGTTCTAGTTTGTTACTAAATAGGTAATAATAATTAACTCTTTAAATAAAATAAACATTTTTGCTTTTGCATCTGTGCATGTGCTGTTTTTCTGCGCCACTTGCTTAAACAGTGTGCAATAGGGATGGGAAGATTAACTGTACTAATGAGCTGTATTTCAGCTTCATCTCAGTTTGTCTCAATCACACTGACTGATGTTTATCTGACTGATGTTTATCTGATGTAACGCATGATGAGAAGCAGACATTTTGCATTTAAAACCACAGGCTACAAAAATAACTACCCTGTACTCTTACACCAAAATGGGCAGATTCTGTATTTTGAGCTGACACTTTACAGACACATTCTACAGACACCAATAATCTTACATCTTGTAAAAGAGGTAAAATAGGGGTCCTTACATAAGTATAAGAACCCTGAAGATTAAAAAGAAATGAAAAATCACTAACTTTAGTTTTTTTTTTTTTTTTTTTTTTTTTTTGAAGATAAACATACTACCGGAACACTTCATGAAAATATTTATTGACATAAAAACTTTATAAAAAGTCTTTTTAGATTTTTAGAAGTCTTTCTAAAATTGTAATGATTAATCCAATACGAAAAATGAACTACATTTAAATTGAGCCAAATTGCACTAGAACCTTTAAACACTTCATGTTACAAAGACTCAATAAGATCAGAAACAAATAAATGCCATTTGAATAGAAATCACCTTTTTGAAAAAGCATGCTTTACATTGTATAGCTGCAAATTGTTAGATTTTGCTGTATTTGGCTTAACTGTTCTTGGGTGGCCCGCTAATGTATTAAATTACTCTAATACATAAAATAAGTAACCAAAAGTTCTTGTGGGGAGAAGACTATTGAAGACAGCGAACAGTGCAGTTCCTCAGTATCAACGTTAACTCGTCAGTCTCAACTAACATAACACAAAGTTCTGTCTGTAAACCCAACAGGTTTCGTTGGATCACAACTCTTGAGTTCCTGTAGGCCATTTGGTTCACACTGTTTCAGATGCAGATACTTGTTTGCATACAAAACAAGCCATACAGTCTGTCACTGCAGATTAACTATGTACACTACTTAACTTTTACAAATTTTGATTGTATTGTAATAACACACTCCTTTTATAAAGCTGCTCTTTTTTAACAATAACGTGAAAAGTGACATACAAATAAACTTAAATTAAATTCTGTAATACTTTCATTAATGTTACTAGTGCTGATAACAATTTTATTGCTTAACATTTTATTGTAGAGACATGAGCAACACACACACACACACACACATACACACACTCGAGCATAAATTACAATAACAATAGTCAACACAGAATACCATATGTTTGTTTATGAGGGATAAAGCTGATTAATGAACACACAATGCCTTCTGGCTCATTCGATCATGTGACATTTGTGTCCGCTTGCCTGAAATCCTCTCCCACTGGTCTCGATACATCAGGCAGTTCTTAATTTTTTGAGTCCTGTCTGTTAAAATGACCTCACAGAGTTGTGTTGTTTCACGTTTTATATTTCATCACCCTTCCAAACCTCATCATCAATCATTCCTTTGTTTTTCCACACTCTGCTCCCTCCAGGCACGGGAGTCATTACTGGCCCAGTCCTCCGGTCAAAACCAGCTCAAGAGAGAGCTGGCAGGAGCTGGAGATGCCCTGGAGAAAATGGCTGCCTTAAATGAAGCTCTGGCCAAGGACAAGAGAGAACTCGGTGTCCGCTCTCTGCAGGTCTGGCACGCAGGTTTAGCCCATCTTTAGCATAGATCCCTTACACCGCCTAGGGACTTGACCAAATCCCCTGCAAGCTGTCACAGGACTCTTGCCTTTAATTACTTGATCTGGTGCCAGATTGATTTGCGGGTAGGGCCAGGTTTGGGTTGGAGGGATGAGATGTGTAATTATTTATTTATTAAATTTTTTTTGTCTTCCTGACCCCTCAGCTGGAGACGGAGGTGGCAGAAGCGCAGGCTCAGATCCAGGCTTTTGGCACAGAGACGGCAGGTCTGCACAGGGAACTGAAGGCCATGTCTCTAGAGGTCCACGAATTAAGGTGCGCAACGGTGAAGCAGATTTTAATTTTTAATTTTCATATTTAGAATTTATTTTATTTAACAGGGACAATGCTCATTAATAAACAGTAAAACTGTAAATAAGCCAAAGTTAGCAACAAGGGCTAATTTTCATTTGTCGCCCCTGCCAGATTTTAAAAGGCAACCTAAAATCAAACAAAAACACATCATCACACATACAAAAACAGTTTGCTTTCAGCCATTTCTTTAACTTGTATTTAAAAGTTGAATCATTTGTAACACCCCTTAAATCAATAGGAAGTGTGATCCAAAAATGACTGGCTCTAACTGAGAAGACTGATCGTGCAAAAGTTGTATGTCTAAATTGCACAGTCTCCCCTGGTAACAAATCGTGTTGCTTGACCATTATTGTTCTTGTGTGTCACAAACTCACATAATGGAGGTGGAGCATATCCATTTAAAATTTTAAAATTCAAACAAGCATCAGCCAAATATTTCATATTATCAAAGCTCAATAAATAGTGTTTTTGTATTATATTGCAATGATGATACCTAATAGACTTCTGATCAAATTCTTTAAGTGCCTGTTTATGAAGGGATTTAACTGATTTTAAAACTGCTTTACTAGTGTGTGACCAACTAGTCAGACAATATGCAATATGAGAACAAATCATGGAGTGCATAAAAAGTTTTGCTGCTTCATTAGTCAAGTAAGGTCGGATATGCCTGAGATTGGCCTGAGATTAAATTTAACAATTTTAGTGACCTTCTTGGCATGCTTTTGGAATGTTAATTGTGAATCTAAAATTAGACCTAAATATTTAAAATCAGAGACAACCCTGAGCTTTTCTCCTTTAACCAATACATCAGGATGAGGGGTAACTGTCAATGTTTGTGAGAAAAACATACAAACTGTTTTATTTGTATTCAGGACTAAACAGGATAGGGCCCAAAATGGATCCTTGAGGAACTTCACAATTGCTGATTCTGAATACTGATTGACTATTACCAAGGCGCACACATTGTTTCCTATTAGTTAGATATGAAGTCATGCACATAATCGCCTCTGATGAAAAGTTAAAAAAGGGAGCTTTGAAATGAGTACCTCGTGATTTACTGTGTCAAATGCTCTTTTTTAAATCTAAAAAACTGCTCCTATTACTAAATTGAGAACACGCACCTTTTCAAAAAAATGAAAAAATGTTTGCTTAAATGTTACATGCTAAATGTTTGCTTCTAATGATTAATTTTTCACAAACACATACACAGAAACACACATTATATATTCTATCCCCTTACCCCTACCCAAAACCCAAGCCTCACTGAAAATGATTTGCATGTTTATGTTTCCAAAACACTTCGTTCTGTGTGATTTATAAGCTTGTTTACCTGTGGAGATCTCGACTAAGGCCCTGTTTACACTAATTTGTTTAGTTTTAAAACGCACATTTTGCTTTATAGCAAGTTTTGCTATGGTTACGCCATATATCTAAACTACCCCAGAGTTTTTGAGTGCCAAAAACGGACCATTTTGGAAACGCTGAAGAGTCTGTTTTTAATTTAAAACGCTGCTGCTCCGTGTTAGTATGGATGGGGGAAAACAGAGAGATCTGGAAATAGAGGCATGTTTGCAGATGCACATTTGGATCTGATTGGGGCTTTTTCTCAATATTAAGTAGCCTACACAACGAGACTTGCATCCTTTCCTTGTAAGTTTAGACTTTGCAAGTTGGATATGAAAAACAAACTCCTAAGGACTAATGTCAGGGAAGTCTTCAAAGGGAACAGTGTACATTATAACCTCATTCACATCACCCAGGCTACGTTGTTTCGCTATTTTAACAGTAAAAAGAAAACATGATATAAGTAACTGTCAATTTTTATTTTGATATTAACAACTTAACAGACAGTAAAAATGTTAAGGCGTCGTGTAGCTGCATATTTATATGACCGTCATCTTCACTGTATGCATTTTCATAACAAAACAGAGCCTATAATATAACAGCCTCCTTTCATTTTCACTGAAAAATATTTAACACACCCTCTCTTTTGCTGAATATCAGTTTTAATAATCAATAATGGCCATTATAAAAGTATAACATAAGATAAGTTTATACAATACTGGAAATAAAGGCAAGCAATCAGTCAAATGTGCAGAATTAGTGTTTGCGGTTAGATTTATTAATATATTAACTTAAGTCAGGGAATATGTCCTTAGATATGGACAACAAGATAAATTAAATATCACGTTTAACAAATATAGTGAGATTAGATCCAGCGGTAGATTCTTGAGATTCTTGATGAACCGTCCAAAGTGCACAGCTCTCATCTGGGTAGATGTGCTCAAAGCACCCGCTGACTGCCTGGAGTTCAGACTCACGCAAATGCTGCAACGCATGCCAGAGTGTGTGTGATGACGTGATGTGTGTTTTCAGCAGTATAGTGTGTACGGAGAGCTGTTCAGAAAAGCCAGTGTGGACATGGATAGTTTTAATTCTAAAACGCTACTTTAAGACTAAAACGTATGAGTGTAAACGGGCCTTATTTCTCCACAGTGACAGAAGTCCCCATGAATCTGTGTGCATTCAGGTTTAAGTTCTTAATGGGAAATAAAGACAATCATACACACAGATATATATTAAAACATTATATATTTTTTATGTAATTACGATTTAATTAATCTAATTACACCCAATAAAAAAATCATATATTTGATTGAGAAATTACCACCAAAAAAAATTGAACGCTGTTAAAATGTTAGATGTGAAAAGCATCAAGTAGATTTTTGAAAGTCATTTCATTTACAAGACATTTCTAAATTGGCATTTAGACCATTTATTCTCTTCAAGAACTTTTGTTATTAACATTCTTCAAATGTTTTGAGAAAGAAGGAAATTGATGCAGTTTTTGGACTAAAGTAAATAACAATTTTCTTTCTTTCTTTTTATAAACTATCGCTTAAATATTTTTAGCACATTTCCATAAAACCTATTAATGTACTAAATTATTGCTTATGTATAATATTATGTATAGTATATAATGTTTTGTTTAACTAGTAAAATATTAGTGTAGAAACTGTTTAGTATTATTAATACTTTTATTTAGCTGGGATTAGAGATGCAACGATTATAGATTTTGGTTGTACAATTATAGTCTAAGGATTAATCCTGGTTTCGCGGTTATCACAATTATTATGCATTCATTATTTCAAAACATGCCTAGTTTAGAAAATCTCATGAATAACTCTGTTATTTATTGCTGCTCAGTAACCAAATAACACAGCACAAAATAATATTAAAAACAAACAATTCTCCATTTCTCTTTGGATATAAAAATAAGTGCAAAAAGTTTTTCGGCATTTAAACATAAGTAATAATTTTACACTGAAAATAAATGACAAAAAAATAAATAATAAGAATAAATAAAAAATGTATTTGTCTAATGTAGGTTTGAGCTACATATTAGCTACGTATTTCCTTTTTAAAGAGAACAAATGTAGTCAAGGGCTGCTAAACCTCCCACTAAAAGGCACTTATGTTCAACTAATACAAATTTCTATTTTCATTTTGTATTTTTGTTTTGGTGTAGTAATGTGTATATTCCATGCAAAGTAGGATCGGTCTAGTTCTAGTCACGTGACTCGCAGCATTATTTCAACTAGGTGCGCCTGGAAAGCGTGAGCGCGTTGTGCGCACATCACTCCCAATTTGCTCGAGCTGCGCACCTCCATTGGAAATAATGATTTTTTTGTGAGCACGATAGAACGATATGTGATTCCTGAAAAATATATTACTGTTTCCAGAGTAATATTGTGCAGCTCAGCGGGTTTTAAATGTTGATATTGTTTTTTTTTTTTCTTGAGCAGCAAATCATAATATTAGAGTGTTTTTTAAAGTATTATGTGATTCAGCTTTAAATCACTGAAATAAATCATTGTAAAAAAAATTCAAACATACAACAGACATTTTTCCTCCACAATATTACAGTTTTAGACTACAAAATGTTTGATAATAACAAATATTTAAAAACAATACTTGCCAAATCTAGCAATTTTCTATTTGATGTCCTCTTTAAAGTCTTGAGTTCATCTTTAAAGGTTCAAGAAACCCTTGAGTACTTTTTTGGGGGATTTAAACAGATTTGTGTGTGTTGAGCATGAGTCAAGACAACATTAGCATCTTTCAGCTTTGAATGTGGGGAAAACTGGATAATTTTGAGCTTTTGTCAGCTAATTTCAAGGGCGATGCAGTGGCGCAGTAGGTAGTGCTGTCGCCTAACTGCAAGAAGGTCGCTGGTTCAAGCCTTGGCTGGGTCAGTTGGCGTTTCTGTGGGGCGTTTGCATGTTTTTCCTGCGTTCGCGTGGGTTTCCTTCTGGTGCTCCGGTTTCCCCTACAGCCAAAGTCATGTGGTACAGGTAAATTGGGTAGGTTAGGGTAAATTGTCCATAGTGTATAAGTGTGAATGAGTGTGTATGGATGTTTCCCAGAGATGGGTTGCAGCTAAAAGGGCATGTGCTGCGTAAAAACATATGCTGGATAAGTTTATGTTTCATTCTGCTGTGGCGACCCCAGATTAATAAAGGGACTAAGCCGGAAAGAAAATGAATGAATGTCAGCTAATTTCATCTTCCGTGTTTAAAATCATTTTGGGGGCAGGATCAGAATCAGCGATATAACGCACATTTGCTAGTAAAGTGATGATGCTTCGATTTCTCATTATTATTCATAGCTGAGTTTTCTTATTCTTTGAGAAGAGTCTGCTTCTTAATTGTTCATGAGAGCACATGCTTTGCGAATGCAGGGCAGACCTGCCAAGATGTAAGACCCACGTCCACAGACTCCGCATACGGCATGCAGTATTTAGTCGTTCATGAAGGGTCGTGTATATTTGTTTCCATGGTCCATGGGGTGTGTTGCATGTTTTTCCCCGCTTGTGACTCTAAATGACAGCTAATCAGGTCCCTAACGAGCGTGTTGGAATTGGGTAGGATTGCTAATGAATACATGGGGCTTTCGATTGCACTATAAATGTCTGGGTTTACCTCAGCAGCTGTTGTATTTGGCTGTAGTTTTCTGGCCCTGCTTCTTCACAGCCAGTGATGCTTTACCGCAGTTGTGTTGATGATCCCACTGCGTTGCAGGCAGCGGAGAGAGAGCGATCTGAAAGCTCTGCAGCAGCTCAGAGAGAGAGAGAGAGAGCTGGAGAATGAGCTGGAGCTGGAGAGGGAGGACAGGCAGAGGGAGCAGACGGCCCGCACTGAAGACAAGAGCACAGATGAACAAAAGATTTCAGAGGTGAGAAACCCAGACAATGCTGCCTGCCTGCCAGACAGATTCAGAAAATACTTCTTTGAAATATGAAATCATACTGTGCTCTAACTAGGTGCAAGGCGACATGTTTCCATGTAATTCTCTCTCTCTGTCTCTCTGTTTCTCTCTCTCTCTCTCCCTCCCTCCTTTTTCATTCTATATTATTAGCCTCTTTATATATATATATATATATATATATATATATATATATATATATATATATATATATATATAATTTTATACATATTATTATTATTTTTCGATCATATATAGGGAAAAAAACGTTGCGGTGACAAAACAGGTGATTTTGCTCACATTTTAAGAAAGGCATGAAATGCCATCAGTCTACAGAGGTTTCCCAGTATTTCTCTGTTGTAATCGGGAGATCACAATATTACTATGGTATAAACACAGCACTACAACATACAAAAGAAAGAGATCGACTTAGACATTGTCAACTGTCTTTGTTTAAATACAGTCTAATGGCCACCGACATGCTGTCTGTCAGAAATTATAAATATTTAAAATTGGCAATATTCTTATAAATTAACTGCATAAATGCTATCTAAACAAATACATTCTCGAAAAAAAAGCCTCAGTGGTATATATATATATATATATATATATATATATATATATATATATATATATATATATATATATATATATATATATATATATATATACACACACACACACACACACACACACACACACACACACACACACACACAGTTGAAGTCACAATTATTAGCCCCCTTCGATTTTTAGGCAGGTTAGGGTAATCAGGCAAGTTATTGTATAACGATGGTTTGTTCTGTAGACTATCGAATAAAACAATTGCTTAAAGGGGCTAAAAATTTTGTCCTTTAAATGGTGTTTTAAAAAATTAAATACCACTTTTATTCTGGCTGAAATAAAACAAATAAGACTTTCTCCCGAAAAAAAAATATTATCTGACATACTGTGAAAATGTTCTTGCTCTGTTTAACACCATTTTGGAAATATCTCAAAAAGAAAATAATTTCAAAGGGGGGGCTAATAATTCTGACACGCAGACACACAAACACACACATATACACACACACATTGAGTCTTCATGCTTTTGCTGTTGTTTTGTTCTCTTAGTATGTGATCCCATTTTGTGTACTACTTGCATATTCTAAAAAAAAACAAAAAACAGGAATTTACCACCAGGCTCTAGATGAACACTAATGACTGTAAGAAGTTTGAAATAATTTTCATCTCATTAAAGTTATTATACTGTGCTTCAGAAAATACAAAACTCATGAAAAATGCTTAAAAAACAGATTTTTTTTAACCCCTTTTATTCCAAACTTTACATATTTCTAAGCAGTGGCCTCAAAATATTAATTTTTTTTTTAAATTTTGATCTTTAATATGTGCGTTTAGACTTCCTTTTGTTCCATGTACTATGATTTATTTCTTCAATAGCTGTAAAATAAGAGGTGAGAGGTCATATAGTCTGCCTATTACATTTTTTATATTTTTCTAATTTCCCAAGCAAAAATAATTGTTACAGTATTTCATATTATATATTACTTTGTTATGTAGAAAGGATTATTGTTTTTTAGTTTGGCTAAAATTAAACCAGTTTTTAATTTAAACAACTAAATATTATTAAAATGTAATGTTTTCATTTTATTGTGGAGCTTTTATTTATAAATATCTGGAGCCTGTTGATCTTTTAGATGTAACCCTTAACAGAATTGTTTATAGCAACATTTTATTAACCATGAATACGAAAGTAATTAAGATTATATTCCGTGACCTTTTGACACTTTTATTGTATTTCTTTTTTGTTTCTACGTTTTTAAAAAATGTTATTTTTTTTCTGAACTCTTGAAACAAAAAAATGTTTAAAATAATAATAATTTTAGGTTAATATTATTGGCTGCCTTGGCAACAGTAGAACCCACTGTTGCTCAAAGCCTTGCCTAATTAAGCTAAATTGCCCAGTTAACCTAATTAGTCTAGTAAAGCACTTAAAGCTGAATACTAATATCTTGTGAAATAACTAGTAAAATATTATGTGCTGTTATCATGGCAATAACAATAGAAATGAGATATTAAAACTTACAAATCCATTAAACAGCACTTTGGAAGTATTTGGAAAATAATTACAATGTCACAGGAGGGCTATTAATTTAGATTTCAATTACACATTTTCCAGAATAAAAGTAACACTTCTCTATCATCTGCAATATGCAACAAGTTTTATATTGCAATTGAAATATAATAATGTGGTATTCTGTACTCACATTCTCCTGTTTTGAATGCATGTTTGAGTCCACTTGAATAGTGACGTTTTTGTGTTTCAGTTAACGGAGCAGTGCAGCACAGTGATGAAGGAGCTTCAGAGTGTCAAGGTTGAACTGCTGAAAGCTGCAGAGCTGCAGAGAAGAGCTGAGCGAGAGAGAGACGATCTAATGAGAGAGAGCCAGCGACTAGAGGACACAGTATGTACACTAGAGAGAGAGAAAGAGGAACTCGCACAGGTCAAAGAGGAACTCAGGTATAGTCAAACTGAGTCTGTGTTTGCGTGCTTGACACAGTTCGTTTTTCTTTTGTGCTGAACTTTTCAAGAAACAATGTTTGCTTTACTTTTGATAAACATTTTTAAACTAGGACTGTGCAATATTACTAAATTAACTATAATGATAGAAAAATATCTAATTAGGGAATCTATAATTATCTATTTATGTATGATTATCACAATAAAGGTCAAATTTCGTTTTGTTTCTAGTTTTAAAGTAGGTTTGCCTCTGAGTGAAAGTTGTAGAAACCAGACAGTTAATTCTTTCAAAGTGCATTTTTTTTGTCAGAACATGACAAACGTTTTAACATGATAAATAATTCACAAATCTGTATACTTGTATTTTATTTTTAGTTATGTTTTGCATCTACATATTATGTACTTGTAGCAAATGTAATAATGGGTAACTAAGAAACTGCTAATTGAACACTACTAACACTAAAATGACATCTAAACTAATCTTAATGTTTAAACTTGCCTGAATTTAGCCTTTACTTTCTTATGTAAGGATGCTGTTAGTACACAATAAAGTTACATGGGAAATAGAAATAGATCAATCATATGAAATATTTTTATTATATATTAGTGTTAACAAATTTTTTAAAGAGGGCATTGGTTCAACCATTTTTGGACCCATTTCTCAAAATAGTTTGTAACAATGCTCTCTTCAGAGGCGTGGTGGTTTGTCTCCAGAAGCAGATGGCTCAGGCACAGGAACAGACCTCAGGTCTGGAGTTGAAGTGCATTCAGCTACAAATGCAGGTGGACACACTCACACAGACCAAAGATGTCTTGCAAGGTTGGTCAAGCTGTTTTAATATAAAACAAACCTCTTATTTTTGCCATTACCATTACTGATTTCATATTTTGGTGTAAGTTTGTAAATTAATAAAGTACAAATGTTTCTCTTGAATTTGTTTAGGAGAGATTCAATGTCTGCAGACAGACCTGGAGAGAGAGACCGCACAGAAAGAACGAGAATTACAAGAATCAATTGAGGAAAGAAGGAAGTTTGAAAGAGAGATAGAAAACTGGAAGTCGGAATGCAAGAAGTTTCAGAGAGACGTTGAACAAGAATCAGAAAATAGCAAAATACAAGCAGAAGAGAGCAAAACGGACAGAGAACGATGGCAAAAGGAGAGAGAATCTCTGAGCGCAGAGCTCGGCCAGAAAGATGGAGAAGTGGAGATACTGAGGAACAGGATTGATGGATTGTTAAAAGAAAAAGAAGAGCTTTTGGACCATTTAGAAAAAAGAAACACAGAACTAGAGAAACTACAGACTAAATCTGCAGCAGAACAGAAAGCGGCCGAGCTAAGGCTGAGAGGAGCATGTGATGAGGTTGAGAGATGGAAGGAGAGAGAAAATAAGGTTCAGAGAGAGAAAGAAGAGTTAAATCAGAAGTTTTTAGAAAGAGTAGAAAGAGAAAGTCAGAACCTCGAGATCACACAGAGAGAGAAGGCTAAGATGTCTGATCTAATGAAAAAGAAGGAAGATGAAATACGAAGAAGAGGAGAGGATATAGAAGAGTTGAAATTGAAACTCCAGTCCAACGAGAAAACAATTGAGAGTCTGGAAATAGAGTTACAACAGAAAGAGACCTTGGAGAGTAGAGTAGAAACCCTGGAGAAACTTAACACTCAACTGAAAGAGAAAAAACTTGACAAAATAAGAGAAAACGAAAGCAGACAAAAGAAAAGAGATGAGCAAGAAAGGGAGAAAGAAGTTAGGTGGAGGAGACAACTGGAACAGAAAGATGAAGGCCTTATAGAGCTCAAAAGCAGAATTGATGAACTAATCGGAGAAAAAGAACATATCTCTTTACTCGTGGAAGAAAGAGAAAAAGATATTGAGCAATTGCAATCTACGCTGTCGACAGAAAAGAGAGCTCTTGAGCTGAGACTGAAAGAGGCAAGAGACAATGCAGAGTGGTGGAAGAGACGAGCTGGCAACATGGAGAAAGTGAAGGAGAGCGTAAATCGTGTTGCTGAAAGAGAGAAAACAGAACTGTCAGAGCTTCTTAGAGAAAGAGAGGAAGAGGTACAAAAGAGAGAAGAGGTGATCAGTGATCTTAAAAACAGAATTCAATCATTAGAGGTAATCATAGAGAAACTAGAGACTGATATTGAGCAGAAGAATGAACAGCTTGAACTTCTAAATGAGCAAATCTCACAGATAAAAGAGAGAGAAATTGAGAATCAAAAAGAGTTGGACAGGATGCAAGAAAATCTAAAGGAACAGGAGAAACAACTGAAAAGAGAATTAGACCATCTTAATATCAAAATGGCAGGAGTCATTCAAGAAAAAGAGGAGTTATTAGAAAGGATAGAGGAGAGAGATGGTGAGTTGACAGAATTACAAGTGAAATTCACTCAAGAACAGAGGATGTTTGAACAGAAGCTTAAAGCAGAACATGCAGAGGTGAACAGGTGCAAAGCCAAGATAGCAGAGATGGAACAAGACCAGGTGAACTTGAAGGAAAGGGATGAAGAGCAAAGGAAAAGACAAAAGATGGAAGAAAGATATAGGGAGCAGAAACAGACAGAAGAACTTGTTCAGAAGGACGTAGAGGTGAGGCAGTTGAAACTGAAGATTGAAGAACTGAACCAGGAGATTGAGCAGGACAGGAGGATAAGAATGGAACAACAAGAAGACCTTGAACAACAAACTGCCCTCCTACGTGATGCTGAAGAGGAGGCAAGAACACTGAAAAAGACTTTACAACAAAAAGATAAAGAAGAAAGGGACAGACTCCACCATGAGGAAAAAGAAAAGACACTACTGAAGGAAAAGCTGCATGAAGCAGAGCAGAGGAACATTAAAGTTTTAAGCAGTTTACAAGAAATCGAAACAACGCTTGAGAAGGAAAGATATCAGCTCAGAGGAAAAGAAGAAAGACTTATGGAGTGTAATGAAGAGCTATTCTTGATCAAACGTGAGCGAGATCAAGAGAAGGAGAGCATTGAAGAACTAAATAAACTTATAGGTGAACAAGGCAAAGAAGTGAAGACTCTGAGGGGAAAACTGGATGAACGACTGGAGGAGGAGGGAAGGTTGTCAAAACTGTTGCAGAACCAGCGAGTGGAGGTACAAGTGCTTGAATCCAGGGCAGAGAACATTGAAGAGGAAAAACAACAGTTGAAGAGGTCTTTGAGTCAGATTGAAGAAGAGAAGAGGCATTTGGAGACCCAACTGACAGATGAAAAAGTGGACAAGGAAAGACTAAGAGTCAGGCTTGAGGATCAGGCCACAGAAGTGACTAAACTGAATAAGATTTTAGAAGAGGAGAGAAAGTTGTCACAACTACTGCAGAATAGCCGAGTGGAGGCGCAAATGTTTGAATCCAGAGCACAGAACACTGAAGAGGAAAAACAACTACTGAAAAGATCTTTGAGTCAGATTGAAAGAGAGAAGAGTCGTCTTGAGACCCAACTGACAGATGAAAAAATGGACAAGGAAAAACTAAAAGCCAGGCTTGAGGATCAGGACAAAGAAGTGACAAAACTAAAGGAGAAAATGAATGAAATTTTAGAAGAAGAGAGAAAGTTATCACAACTACTGCAGAACAGCCGAGTGGAGGCTCAAATGCTTGAATCCAGGGCAGAGAACATTGAAGTGGAAAAACAACAATTGAAGAGGTCTTTGACTCAGATTGAAGAAGAGAAGAGGCATCTGGGGACCCAACTGACAGACGAAAAAATGGACAAGGAAAGACTAAGAGCCTGGGTTGAGGATCAGGCCACAGAAGTGACAAAACTAAAGGAGAAACTGAGTGAAATGATAGAAGAGGAAAGAAAGTTGTCACAACTTCTGCAGAACAGTCGGGTGGAGGCTCACATACTTGAATCCAGGACAGAGAACATCGAAGAGGAAAAACAACAATTGACAAGGTCTTTGACTCAGATTGAAAAAGAGAAGAGGCATCTGGAGACCCAACTGACTGATGAAAAAATGGACAAGGAAAGACTAAGAGCCAGGCTTAAGGATCAGGCCACAGAAGTGACAAAACTAAAGGAGAAACTGAATGAAATGATAGAAGAGGAAAGAAAGTTGTCACAACTTCTGCAGAACAGCCGGGTAGAGGCTCAAATGCTTGAATCCAGGGCAGAGAACACCATAGAGGAAAAGCAACAATTAAAGAGGGTTTTGAGTCAGGTTGAAGAAGAGAAGAGGCTTTTGGAGACCCAACTGACAGATGAAAAAATTGACAGGGAAAGACTGAAAGCCAGGCTTGAGGATCAAGCTACAGAAGTAACAAAACTGAAGGAGAAACTAAATAAAATGGTAGAAGATGAGAGAAAGTTATCACACCTTCTGCAGAACAGCCAAGTGGAGACTCAAATGCTTGAATCCAGGACAGAGAACCTCGAAGAGGAAAAACAACAATTGAAGAGGTCATTGACTCAGATTGAAGAAGAGAAGAGATGCCTGGAGACCCAACTGACAGATGAAAAAATTGATAGGGAAAGACTAAGAGCCAGGCTTGAGGATTTTCAGAAAGATCAACAAATCCTGTTTGAGGAGAAGATGGGACGTGCGGAGAAGCTTGGGTCTCGTGTAAGAGAACTGGAGGAGCAGAGAGATCATCTCTCGGCAGAGCTTCGACGGAAAGAGCGAGAGATGGAGGTTTTGAGAGATGAAACTCTTCGAGAGAGACGAGAGAAGGACAGAATAAGCTCTTTATTGAGTGATGCCAAGGAAAGAAAGGAATCACTGTCTGTCCAGGTCGATTCTTTGCAAGAACAACTGGTTAGTCTGTCTAGATCTAAAGAGCAAACCAAGTTAAAGATCCAGGAGCAAAAAGAGCAGAACAAGGAGATGCGAGAGGGGCTAGTTGCTGGGCTTCAGGAGATGGCAACTTTGAAGGAACTGCTAGAAGAGAGTCATCGTGAAGGAGAGAGACTAAGGTCCATGATGCAGGAAAGGAAGGATGAGCTGGTACGAAGTAGAGAAGAAGGCATTAAGGTGGCACATATTGAAGCCAAAGATCTTCAACTAAAAGTCCAGATGTTAGAGAAGCAGAAACAGGAGCTTGAAACCACTCTTCAACTACAAGTGGAGCAACTTAAGAAGAAGAATGAGGAAGGGATGCAGGAGAAGGAACAATTGCAGCAAAGACAGGAAAAGTTGGAAGGAGAATTGATGGCTATGAAAAGCGTAAAGGAGCACAGAGAGGCTGAGCTGACCAGAGCAAAGGCTAGATTGGACATTCTGGAAGATCAGAGGACTGAACTGAGCTCTTTGGCAGCAGAGAGGACCAAAGATGCAGAGGAACTGAGCAACAGATTCAGAGATCTGAGGCTGGAAGCTGACAGGCTGAGAGAGGACAGAATAAGAGAGAAGAACAACTGGGAGGAACTCAAAAGAGAAAACAAAGAAAAACAAAATGCCTTGGAGGAATTGGAGCTCCTTAGAAAAACTCTGATGGAAAAGGAAAAGGAGATGAAATTGGTTAAAGAGAAATATGAAAATGAGAAAAGAAGAAGCGAGAGATTTCAGCAAGGGGATGAACAGAATGTAAGACAAATTGAATTAGTTTCAGAAAGACTCAGGGATAAGGAAACTGAGTTAGAGAGTATTCGAGAAAAGGCGTACAAAGAACAATCAGCAAGACTTAGATTGCAGGATCAATTCGAAGATGAGAAAAGAGTTACCAAGAAATTGAGGGAAAAATTAGAAACCCTAGAGAAAGTGAAACAAGAGATGAAGACCAAGATGGAAAATGATATACGCTATTTTAGAGACTCTGAAAAGAAAAACAATGGTCTAAAGATGGATAGTGGGCATGGTACTCTTGCAGACTCCCTAGAGATAAATGCTGAATATCGTTCTCATGTCAAGCTGTTAGAAGCAGACACACTTAGAAAGGACCTGACAAAAAAAGATCAGGAAATACGAAGGTTGAGGATCAAGGCTGAAACACTACAGACTGAAATCGACCGACTGCACTCTCTATTAAAAAATGGGAACATGAAAACTGGGCCAACAGAGAATGAGGACTGGGATAGGGAAAAGCAGCAAGTGTCCACTATCCTTTTAGAAAAGGAGGAGAGGGACAGACTCCTCAGAGAGAAGGATGTTGAAGTATATGCATTAAAGGAGCGAGCTGAGGAGATGAGCAAGGACAGGGATCGGGTCAGGATAGCACTGGAGAAGACTGAAGCCATGCTGATTTACTATAAGGAGAGACTGGGACATCAGGAGCACAAGAGAAAGCAGACAGGAGGTGATATTTCATTGGTAGGTAAAGACCAGGGTATACTACAGGGTAAAATGAAAATGATGTTATCATATATTTATTTCTGTTTTAAAACCTGTTAAAGTGTCTTTCTATTTTTGCACTTAATTATTAGAATCAGGATGTTTATCTTTCTTAAACAGAATAATTTATTGGACAACGTTTTTTTTAACCATTTCTTATTTTCTTCTAAACTGGTACATTACTCAGTACTAACTTAATATTTATAGTTTTTTCGAGAGTCTTTTTTTCAGTTTAATGGTGTCATTTGTGACTTAAGAGAAACACACTGATTGCAAATACATTGCCAAAGCTGGACAATCAGCGACCATCAAATACTGACACTAACAAGTCATTTAGATGCAGATTGTGTATTTTTTGTTTCAAATAAAGTACACATTTCTCATTATATATTGCTTATCAGATCTGTTGAAACTGTATAGACACAGTACATTGAGCATGCTTCTGAAATTCAAATAAAACCAAATAATCAGAACAACATTCAACAAATATTTATGCCACATTGGATAAAGTCCATGTGTGTAAAGTATACTGTTATTTAGTGCACCATTAGAGTAGATGGAAATACTAATATTTTTATATTTTAAAGCACACAACCATATAGGCTCACCGGCCACTTTAAGGTACTGTAAATATACCTCCGAGATTTTAGTCCATATTGACATGATAGTTCATGCAGTTGCTGCAGATTTGTCGGCTGCACATCCATGATGCAAATCTCCCGTTCCACCACATTCTGAAGGTGCTCTATTGAATTGATATCTGGTGAATGTGAAGGCTGTTTGAGTACAGTGAACTCTTTAGCATGTTCAAGAAACTGGTCTGAGATGATTCAGTGTATATGACATAGCGCATTATCCTCCTAGGAGTAGCCATCAGAAGATGAGTACACTGTGGTCATAAAGGGATTAACATGGTCAGCAACAATACTCAGATGGGCAGTTTCGTTGACACGATGCTCAATTGGTGCTAATAGGCCCAAAGTGTGCTAAGAAAATATCCGATCTTATGTTATCCGAACATTATTCCAATCTTCTATTGTTCAATTTTGGTAGGCCTGTGTGAATTGTTGCCTCAGTTCCTACCTGACAAGAGTGGCACCTGGTGTGGTCTTTTGCTGCTGTAGCCCATCCACCTCAAGGTTCGACATGTTGTGCATTCCGAGAATTTCTTTAGCATATCTCGGTTGTAATGAGTGGTTATTTGAGTTACTGTTGCCTTTCAGCTCGAACCAGTCTGGCCATTCTCCTCTTGCATCAACAAGGCATTTGCGCCCACAGAACTGCTGCTCACTCGATATTTTCTCTTTTTCGGACCATTCTCTGTAAACCCTAGATTTGTTGTTCGTGAAAATCTCAGTAGATCAGCAGTTTCTGAAATACTCAGACCAGCTCATCTGGCACCAACAGCCATGCCACATTCAAAGTCACTTATATCACCTTCTCTTCCCCATTCTGATGCTCTGTTTGAACTAAAACAAATCGTCTTGACCGTGTCTACATGCCTAAATATATCGAGTTGCTGTCATGTGATTGGCTGATAAAAAATTTGAATTAACGAACAGTTGGACAGGTGTACCTAATAAAGTGGCCTGTGAGTGTAAATCTGCCCATAACTTGCTTTTATCCAGAATCTTTTTTTTTATTTCATGTTGAAAACATTACAGTTTCATTATAATAAATACTGAGACGTTTTTAATGATTACTTGCTGATTTTTAGAATGAAAAAGTCTTTAACTAACTGCTCTATGACCTGCGGGGGCACAATGTGAGACATTTGAAAGGTTTCCAAATCTCAGGCAATTTTTTTTGTATTATGTTTTTTCAGGTTAATAGAGAATGTCTTGTGCTTTGTCGTGTGTGCTCAAACCAACAAGCATCCATGGGTTCATGCAAAAGAAGTTTTTAGTATATAAATATTTATTAGATTTTTATTTTGTTATTTTTATGCCCTCTAGTCTTGTACTAACAATTTGGGCTTTAGAGAAAGTTTCTCAATAAAACATTTTTGTTTTTTACAACACAAGTTAAATGTGGAAGGAGCTTTGCTTTAAGCAGTTAAGCGTGTATAGTGCTCTTTATTCATTGACATGTCTCCCTTTCTTAGATATATTTTTTATTGATTTTACAGTTTAAAATTTCTTTACAATAAACAACATCGATTAACCCTTTGGCCATATCATCCCCCTGGTGATCTGGTAGTTGGTTATAATTTTGTCTTATATCATTAGGAAAAAGTGTCTGCGGATGAGCTGGATACAGAATCTGCTGTTCATGGGCGTCTGTCGGCGATGCAGCAGGCTGTAGCACAACTGGAGGTGCAGCAGAACCTTCTTGAGAAGAAAAACAGTCACCTAGAGAAGAAGATTGAGAGGCTACGAACTGAGCGACAGCACCTGAGAGAGACACTGACACAGGTGTGAGCACGCCTCTCAAAGGAACCATATATTATGATGTCAGCATGATTAATGTAGCTACTGTATTTGTTTGACCATCACCAGGTTGAGCTGGAGAGGGGGAAACTGAGGCGTCAGCTGTCACTGTCAGAAGCTGGAGTTCTGGTATGATGAAGAGACTACATTTGCAATATATTTATCTAGTTCTGGTTGTCTTTCTGTGTGATGGATTGTCACAGTAGTATCCAATCTGTGTGAGTTATATGAGGGATAATGTACATCCTGCCAGAATAAACCCTGACGGGACGCCTGATGTAAAGCAGAAGGGTTTTCAATCGCACTAAATTGGTTCATTTAATAAAAAAAGCTATCTGGATGTAATATATCTTGCTTATTATGCAAACCACTTCCCAAATAAGTAGTTAATGGAGCACAAAATACTCTTTGAGCTAAAAATATTTGAGTTCAAACTAGAAGAGTATATCAAATATGACTGCAGGTCTATATCACCTCTATTATTTTTTTATATAGATAATGGTGACAGAAGATGTTGATTTGGGATTAAACTGTTTACATTTGTACATGCTTAATCTCTTAAAATCCATTACAAAACACTCTTCCTGACAAATGAAGAGCACAGAAACAAGTTTACAGGACTGTTAATACTAAAAGGAATTTTTCACCCAAAAATGAAGGTTTATGCATTATTTACTCACCCTCAAGTGGTTTTAAATCTTTTTTTTTTATGTTTTAGA